GTTCGAATTTTTTGGACGTCTTTGTAGCCTTTTCCTTGTATGATCATTTATTGATCAAAGAGGTAATTGTTTTGTAATGATTATAAGAAAATGTCTTAATTATGTGTATAATTCACGATTATAATTGTAAAAATTTATTGTAATTAATTTTAAATATTTTATTTTTTATAATAAAACTAGTTATTTCTATTTGTGTAAAAAGATTTTTATTCAAATTATGGAAAACCGAAGTAGAATAACTTCTGATTTTTCCCCATAAAATAGAGGAATAAAATTCATAATAAGATCTGAAATAATCCCAATAACGGTTCATTTGTTTAATTACAGGATTATAATCTTTAGCATTCGGTGCATAAATCATAGGTAGATTAGTACAAATTCTGCTATAAAAAAGATATGACTGCTGGGATTCGAGCCCAAATCTCCACGGCCACAACGAGTAATTCTCACCACTAAACTACAGCCACAAGTTAATATGTTTATTATTTCAGAAAATTATAATGGATAATCGTTGTTTTTCACCAGCTCTGCATGATCATGTTGAGAAGGCTGTTTTTGCTCACACATTTGGCATAGGAACACTGCAATAACAAAATATGAGGGTGTCTTTAAAAACGTTGTAATTATGCATCGGTGGCGAAGTAAAACACATAACATCAGCAACGTGTTCCTTCTTTCATCTGCTGTTTCAACTTCAAGACTAGGCTAAACTGATGCGTTTATTGGGGTGACCACCATTAAAATTTTAAATTCTTATATAATTAAAATATTTTTTTATATGTTCTGTTAATTTCAATCTCATGGGTTGTGAAATTCATCTTGTGGTTTGGAGATCTATAGGTTAATGGCTTAAGGGGTTGACGGAGGATTGAATCTTGATTAAGGGGTTGACGAAGGATTGCATCTCCATTGAGCATGATGATAAGCATTTCAAACCATTAATAAGATCTCTTGGGCATGTTGTTAAGAAAATAATGTTAAGATTTCATGGCCGTTAATATTTATTTCGAGTACGATGATAAGTCCTAAAATCTACCACATGAATATTTGAGACATTTAAGTCATTAATAAGTTTTTCTAGCATTACGGAATGGATGGACAAATATTTTATTAAGTTGGTATTCTTAATTGAGGTTTTGCTGTAAATGGTAAAGTTATGTTCGGTATTTTACACTTTCTAAGAAATTCCACAATTCCATACTTCCTATAATTTGAACAAATCACAAGAGAACTGTATATTTTTTTTATTAGGGTAAACTATTTGGTCACCCAACTATCATTTTAATTTCATTTTAATCATTCGACTATTTAAATCACTAGTTTATTTTTTTTGTCATCAGTCGTTAAAAAAATAATGGTGATGTTGATGTGTCATCATTAAAAATAAAAATTAAAAAATATCACATCAATAGTTATGTTATCTTTTTAACGACGAGTGATCAAAATAAAATCAAAACATAACATTAACGATCATCTTGAAAAAAATTATTGGATGGCCAACAGAGAACTAAAATAATAGTTAGATGACTAAATTCATAGTTTACCCTTTTTATTAATTAGGAACTCGTCAACGTCCATCATCAAATTTCAGTTGCAAACGTTTTATTCATTCACAAGAATTTTATATTAAACAGGGAAGTTGCAAGTTGTGTGAATGTGAAACAATAATTCTATTAATTTTTTATTAACTTTGTTTTAATAATATGCTAGTTGCAATTAGGAGATTCCTCCAATCCGCTTACAACAGTTGAGAAATAAATATTAATTTTTGCTTCAACAAAAGAGGATGCTATTCGGCAAAGAGACTTAATTTTATCTATACTTTTCAATATGAAATGACTTTTACCAGGAGTGTATATAGGTGGGTTAGAGTTTGACTCGAACTTAATTTGATTCATATTAATTAATAAAAAGGAAATTGAGAAAAGTATTATTAGAAACCTAATTTGATTGGAAGTACGAAATTTTATCTTCTTTATTTTTTCTTTTTGTTCTTCTTGCTCTCAAGGATTTGTCTTGATCAATTTTGACCGATCGGGTCACACTTGTTGTTATGTGTGAGTCTCCTAATAAAAATTTTCTGCATACACAAGCACTCGAACTCAAGATCTGTTTAAGCGATATCAAATTGTTTACCACTTAAATCAATCTCGTTGGTAAACATATCTACTTTTTAATGTTATTTAAAAGTAGAAAATATAATTTTAATAAATCTCTATTAAATCAGTTTCCTTTTGTAACCAATTAATATCTTTATAAATAGGTACTAGGGATGAGGCTAAATATCAAGTTATTACTTCAAACCTTCTTGTATTTTCTACTTCTCAAAAAAAAAAAAGTAAAAGTTCTCATCCTCTGCCATTGGGTTTTTTCCCGAATTTTTTTTTACATAAATCTTAGTATTCTTTATTTTGTGATCGTTTTATATTTGTTATTATCATGCTTTTATTATAACAAACTGTTATTAGAGCTTTTTAAGTTAGATTTAATCATGATAATAACATCAATTAAATATGAAATTTCTTTATTGGATTGCAACATCAGGTTTTCGTTATGAGAGGTGAAGATTCGAGATGTCTTTGTCCAGTTGGACTTAGATGATGCATTAGAAGGATTTGATAAGAAGACAATGTCAAATTAAACGAATACAGAAAAAAGTAATCTCATATTGTTTATACTTATTAAATCAATTTTTATAAGATATATTGAAAGAAAATACAAGATATATTGAAAGAAAATACGTCTACTTTTTTGTGGGTGAAATTGGAACAACCATGAAAACGTTAACCAACAAGTTGCACTTAAAGTAACGTTTCTAGTCATACAAGTTGGTTGAAGGTTCGTCACTTGAAGATCACATAATTGTATGCAAGGAGATTCTCTGATCTACAAATCATGGGTGTGAAGTACGACCAAGAATACATAGGATTGGTTCTCCTATGTTCATTACCTCTTTCTTACTCGTCCTTTAAAGACGTTATCATATGTAGTCGTGAAACATTTACACTTGAAGAAGTGTATGACAAAATACACTCGTATGACAAGATCAAGAATTTTGTAGCTGGATTGGAGTCCCAAGCAGAAGGTCTCGTAATGCATGGATTGACTAGTAACAATTGTGAAAGAAAAGCGTAAGACAATTCTAGAGGTAAAGTCTGGACCATGTCAAAAACCTCAAACTGAGGTAAGCCTTGTAATTTTTACAAGAAGAAAGGTCATTAAATTGGAGTGTTTCAAGTTCCATAATAAAATCAAGGGAAAATTACACATTTAATACTCCAACTATCACTTTTAATCTTTTTGATTACCAATTTTTTTTTTCAAAATCATACTTAATGTTTAGTTTTAGTTTCATTTTGTTCACTTGTCATTAGAAAATTAATGGTGATGTTGACGTGTCACCATAAGATAATGTCTCATTATCATTGAAAGAAATAAAAATGTCACGCCATCGGTTCTATTAATTTTTTAACGGTAGGTGATCAAAATGAAACCATAACGTAACGTTAGGTATTATTTGAAAGAAAATAATTAGATGAAGAAAACGAAAGAAAAGTGATAGTTGAGGTACTAAATGTGTAGTTTAACCTAAAATCAAAAGAGAAACTATGGAGCAGAATTTTGAAAAATCTAGTATGGCGAACATAGAGAATGAGTACGATGAATGAGAACTCCTATTACAACTGACGGAAATTCTGAAGCAAAGAGTGCAATGAATGATTGACTCTGGGTGCACATACCATATGTATCCCAATTAGTATTGGTTTACAACCTATTAAATTATTTAGTTGTTGTTTTGATGGGTAATAATGTCTCATGAAGAATTATAGATTTGCAGGGATAGAAATAATGTAAGTGAAGATGTTCGATGCTGTCGTTAGAACTCTCAGTGATGTACAACATGTACCAAATCTAAAAGATGAATATAATTTCGTTAATTACTCTAAAGTCAAAAGGGGATTAGTGCACCGATGAAGGTGGAGTTCTAAAGATCAACAAGGGTTTCCTCATCATGATAAATGAGAAAATTAAATGACAAATTATATGTTCTCTAGGGTTCTACAATCAATAGGTGATATCGTTGTTGCATCCTTTGTTTCTTCAGATGAAGATGTTCTTTGACATTTGCCTCTGAAGCATATGAGTGAGAACAACATGGGAGAGTGAAGCAGGAGATGACTCCTTGATCACGGGAGTTGTAAACTAATTTTTTGTGAACACTACATCTTTAGCAAGCAATAAATGATTCATTTCATCAGGAAAAAATCACAACACGAAAAACACTATAAACTATATATGTTTTGATATTTGGAGTTCATCCAGAATACTTTCTAAAAAAGGCGTTAATTATTTGATAACAATCATTAATGATTTCTTTATAAAAATCTGCATCTTTTTTTTTTTAAAGAAGACTGATTTCTCCGTATTCAAAAATTGGAAAATAATAATAAAAAAACGTCTCCCCACTTCTAATAAATTTAATCAAATTGCTTCTTCAATGAATAATAGACAATTGAGATTCAAATAATTGATCGCAACAAACTAGATTTGAATCAATTAATTTAAATTTTATAATCAACTGTCTTAGCAAAAATGAGTTAAAAGCTAAAAAAAAAAATATGATTTTCGTTTTTTTAAATAGATTCAACATAGACACTTTTCAGTTTTACTAAATTATGAATGGACGATGAGCGAGTAAGACAGTTATGTCTTAAATATTTAAATTATTTCTTAAAATAGTTTTTTGTATAATTTTTATTAAAAATAAATATTTATCTCTGAAAGCTTTACAAATTTATTCTTAAAATTTTAAAAACTTATTCTCTAAAATAAAATTAATTTTGGGTCTGATCAATCATTAATATCCAAATGTTATAATCGATGTGTGATCAAAATCGAAGCTTTTCATTCAGTCCATTAGATATTTTGGCCTTTGGATCATTTCCATCGTTATATATGTGTGAAGAACAAACTCATTTCCCCGTAGATTCGTAGTTGAAAAAGGAAATAAATTTTTAAAAACTAGAGTAAATAATCAGCGATGAGTTCAGCTTCTTCAGTATTTGTTGCCCCTTTTAAGTTCTCCAGACTCCGATCTACTCCTTCCTTTAGTCCGTCGTCTCCGCCGCCGTGTTTCCGTGTGGCGTGCCGTAGCGGATCTCCTCAACCGCCGCCGTCCACCGATCTCAGATTCACCTTGCATGATGCTCTCGAATCTTCTGGAATCGATACGTCTCACGCCAGAGTACTGCTACTATCTCTTTTCTTAATCTGTGATTTTCATTTGAAGTTTTAGGAAAAAATATTATATGAATTTCCTTTTTTCTTTTGGATTGATCTCATTGGTAAAGAGTGTCTAATTATAGCAATTGACTTGGATTTTAAATATCAGTTAGGAATGATATGATTCGAGCTTGTGTCTGTGATTGCGGAAAATTCTTTTTTTCTCTAATAAATTTAATCGAATTGTGTTCTCTGATTCAAAATTGGAAAGATTTTGATGTGAACTGAGAATCTTAGTACGATTGAGGAATATTCAATTCTGGGAATTTCATATTTTTTGTGGATTGTTTGATATATAGTTATAAATATTTATGTAACAGGAATTAATGTAGTTTTGACGAATTTTGTTCCGGGTGACTTCAATATGCTTAGTTTAGAATTTAATCACTTAAGTTTTGGTTTATTAAATTTAGAAAAAAAGACTTGCAAAATTAAAGCAAATCGTGTTGGAACATTGTAGTGGTTTTAAGTACTGGTCTGAAAGGGACGCTACAATAATTAGAACTCGAAACTTTCAATTCAAATTAAGTTCGTATCCTAGGGAAGATGGTATTTGGGAATTATTTCCCGGTTTTTTATTCATGTCCAATGAGATTTTATTACCCGCCAAACAATAATAATAATAAGAGCTTAAGTTCAATGGGAATTTTAGTGTTATGTTAATCTAACATTGTCTTTTTATGGTAATCGATTTGGAGCAGGAGGCGAGGAAGAATTTTGTTTCACAAATTCAGAAATTATCTGTTATCGAGAGAGAAACAAGTATATGCATAAATAGATGTGTTGATCTAGGGAGAACAGCTCTTTACATAGCAGCAGAGGATGTCTCTCTCGTTTCGCACTCTTCCGATCCTCTTCCGGTGGATGCTTTCCTCGAAAGATTGGATGATCTCTCCATGGGCTACTGCTCTCATTATAACTCATCATGTAGGTCGTCTCGGGAGAATTTTTTGGAGAGCATAGAAAATATCTTTATGTCAAAAAGGTACCTACAAGAATTTTGGTAATGTTATTTTGTCATTTTCCAATCTATTGACTTCAACAAACCAAGTTCTTTTCATTTCTAGTGACTATCTAGTTTTAACTCAATTGAGGTCAAGGAATTATGCAACATTTGGGGAATGAATTTTTTTCTTCAGTAGATCTTTTATCTGCAGACTGTGTTGCAATGAACAGTGTAGCCTTCTGTGTGTCCATAGTTGTATATATGAAATGAAACATTCTGTCTCATTTAGGTACTACTTGATCTAATTATTTAAACTTCTGTAACTTGGTTTCTTATTTACTTGATCATTTTCTTTTTTTATAATTGGTCAATCCATTCACTTCTACTTAGGGATTCTGGAGGTCTATGGTGAAGAATCAAGCAGAGGCACGGGCCCTTTATCTTCACTCAGTATGAAATTTGCCCTCTAGCATTTGATTTTTTCCTCTTTTCTGAAAGTTTTATCAATTTTTGGTGTTTGTTTTGTTAATTAATCTTTTGTTTGAGCAGGTTTTGGCACATCGTTCAGGTTCTGCTGTAATGCTTTCGCTGATACATTCAGAGATCCTGAAAATGCTTCGGTTGTGGGGCCTTCTGGATTTTGATGTTGAGATTTTTTTTCCACATGATCTTCAAGGTCTTCCTAGAGCCTATGATAAGCAAAAGAGCAAAGAGTCTGATCAGCCACACATAATGACTGTACAAATGCTATTGGGGGAGGTAACTTCTATACTATTGAACATTTTTTTTACTTACTATTAATTTTAAATCCAGAATAAAGTTAAAAACAAAACAAATGCTAGTTATTTACCTTTTAAATAAGGTTTTATTGTATCTTTGTGTTGTGCTTTATCACTTTTCTTAATTGCTACCAGATAATTAGACATGGACAAGTGGAACGTAAATAGAAACATGTACATGAACTTGGATCTCAGCTTTCTACCGTCTGCATGTGCTTTTTACAGAAGAAACCAAAATGTGAAATGTTTGCAAACTACTTAATTAAAACTCCCCTTTCTCTTTTTCAAGTCTCTTCTCCATGTTTCATGAGATGCTAAAGTTGTCATTTTGAGATTTTAACAGCATTTATTTAACTGATGTCTTGACCGGTGTGCTAGTTTGGTTTAAACTTTGTTTTTAATCTGTATGAACCGTTCCAACATGACACTCTTCGTGTGGGTAATCTAATCTTGGGGGCACTTGTGGGAAATTTATCTTCAATATATTCAACTTTGCCTTTTTTTCGGGAAAAAAAATCTATTTCTGTTATGGATATTGCATTTTCTCCTCCTTTTGTAATCTTTTTACATCTGGTTTTTGTTATCTTCTCATATAGTTTTATGATTGCAGATTTTAAGAAATATGAAGGATGCTTTCTGGCCATTTCAACATGATGATGGTGATAGTTTATTTTTAAGGGCAGCAGACGCAGCTAACTGTGTAGATAAATTTAATAGCTTTGAGGAGAGGTATCTGGTCTATATTACCATTCAATTTGTATTTAGATGTTCTTTTGAAATTGTAGGTTATGATTTCACATTTCTTTCCATATAGTGGATATTGGTTTGCATCTGCAAAGGCTTCTCAAGATAGGGTAGATCAGGGTGTTTGGACCGGTCTTCGTTTTGGGGATATGAGGTGTGCTTTATCTGGTATGATTAGATTATCGCGTTGCATCAGTAAATTCTCTTTTATTTTACCTAATAAATATATAAACGATAGCTTTAACATTTGTATCGATTGTTATCAAAGATCAATAAAGTAAGGATAGTTTAAGCTTATTATTGTGCTTTCCTTCTCTCCTTCTCATTCCTTGTGATGGATAGGGTTAGCAAATCATTTGCACTATTTCCAGTGTTAGCATTCGGTCTTTCTTCTCTTTTTCCTTGTCAACTGAATGATTTTGCTTTCATTGACCATGTTCGTTTTCCTTTTTCTCTGCTTTTGAATTTCTTTTCTCAAACCTTAGGCAAAAGTTTCTTCATTTTCTTACTCTAGTTTCTTTTGCCCATTAACTCATGACCGGATACGGTTTGGGTGTAATATCAAGGTTAACGTACTTTTATTTTGATGAAATTGTTCTATTGTTGCAGCATGCGAACGTCTAATTCTTCTAGGAACAGAGCCTAAGGAAATCAGAGATTACAGCATTCTTCTCTACCATTGTGGACTGTATGAACAGGCTCTGAAATATCTCAGATTGTATAAGGACGCAAAGGTAAGTTTTACGGTACGATGTAATATGACTTAAAATTCAGTTTTTTAAGAACTGGGATAAACATGTTCAGTAAACCATTTGCAGAGTTCTTCCCCACGAAATCCGTTAACAGGTTCAGTTAGCAACCGAGAAGAAGACGCCGTGGAGAAATTGATCGTACGTCTCAATCTCATTGCAGCGGAGGAAGGTTGGACCCGTTCATCATCGTATGTCAGAAATTTTCCTGGCAATAACTCTGAGCCACGGTAAGGCTTTCATACATTTTCCTGTGGCATTAAATTTCAACTACTACTTGTTTGAGGAGGGTAGTCAAATTAAGATGTTAGTCCACAGAAAATAAGTCCGAATGTCCGTAAACAGTGCGGTTTAGGGATCATAAAACAAGCCTGCACAGAGCATAAGATCAATTGATCCGACATTAGGGTTCGACATAGGCATTGGCAGTATATGGTTAATATACTTGATGAGCTTTTAGGCTGCCTTAGTACATTATCTTTATCCTTATACAGCACCAGAAGATTTTGTTTTGGTTTTCCTTTGTAAATGATTGTCACTTGAACCTGTTGTGTATTTAACAGAATATGAAAATAGAAAATATGAATACCCTAAATGAGTGCCATGCAGGGGTCTAAATGTAACATTTGTGTTTGCAAGTTATATTTTTATCGTTAGTTTGCAAGTTAAACCAAAAAATCTTTAGTTTGATTACAATAGACACAATTTAATGTTTTTTTTTATCTTTATCTAATTAATTTTTAATTAAATATAATATTTTATTTTAGTTTTAAATTTATTATTATTATTTAATATTGTGTTTAAATAAAATAATATTATCGATAATAAAAAATAGTGGATTAAATTATAAAAATTAGAAATAAATAGGGGTCAATTCTAGAAATATTATTTAATAGGGACTAAATTGAATAAAAATATTATAATTTTAACAATAGTAGTAGACTGAATTATGAAATTTAGGGACAACTAAGGTCTATTTCGGATTAAATAAAATTTTTAAGCACTAAAGTGAATAATATTAAAAATTGACCTGCACTTACAAGATATCTTAGGGACTAAGTTGTAAATTGTTAGTTAATTTCATGATTAGCAAGCATTTCCTAAATTTATGGTTCAGACATGTAATTAAAGTCACAACAATCATAATGTTGAGTTAGGATTTATCCTTAACTTTAAATCTAAAATTTAGGCATCATTATGTAAAATAATGTTAATGTGATTGCTCTGTAATTTAGAAAGAGTTTCCATGAATCTAAAACTCGGGCTATCTAAAATTGAGTTAGAACATGCACAATCAAACTATCAAATCAACTTCTAAAGTTAAATATCACACATAAACGTACTTGTAACATTAAAAGCATGCAAACACAAAAATAAAAACACGTTTCTTAACATCTAATCCACAATCAATCATGCTTTGGAAATCATATTAATCAATTTTAGGTATCACATTGATTTTTTAGGCATATTTCACATATGTCTACATGCCATTTACAGTCATATAACACCTAAATATGGTAAAACACAACTCACAACATGGCAGCACTCAAATTAATATGCTTTCACCAAAACCATACTTGTATTCGATGATCAAATTGTTATTAAGTCAATAAGGTTTAGTATCTATGTGAATAACTTAATCGTCAATATATATTGCTCCTTAGGATTAAAGAAACGGTTTAGTGTATGCTGATGTAATTTTCCGGTGCGTTTCAACGAATTATGTTCAATTCGACTTTGATGTAAATACCATGTACTTATGTGTTTTTTTCTTTTCTCCTTCGGTTTTAACTGCTAATTATTTCAGTTACGTTTCTTCATCAAATAATTACTTGCGGTTGTGAATAGTTTGAATGAATAAATATCTCACATTGAATCACTATACCTTACAATGTTTATCATAAAAAATCCTAAAATCATTCAACTTTAAAAAAAAAATCGATTATGATATATTTTAAAATATTTTTATATACGACGATTCTATTATATATTTAACAATATAAAATATTCTTCATAATTTAAGTCATTGTTATCCGAGTTTAAGTTTAAACATCCTAATAAGTTCATCCTAAACAACCATTTAGAACCCTAACCTAATTATCTTAAAATCATCCGACCTTGAAACCTTAAACTGATGACCTGAATTAAGAACTAAAATGATAAAATCCAAGAAATGTGTTTTGGGTCAAACACACCTATTTTTCAGATTATTTATGTCACGTATGGCGAATGTACACCCCGATAAAAGGTATTATTGACAAGGTATATTGTCACTTTACGTAACATAAAAAGATAATACTTTTATAAATAATCTTAAATAAAAAAACAGTATATTTGGATAATAAAGCCAAACTCTAGTTCATATCGGTTTTCTAGGTATTACAAATTTCTTGTGCTGCAAGGACTATTTGGACAATTTTTAGATTCATATATACAATTATTAATCTTATTAAATTCAGATAATTATTTTTTATATAATGTCTAAACTATTCAAATTTTTTCCTACTCATAAATCGAAAGATATTGAACGTACTATACAGTTGAAGCTAATTAGATACAAAAGAATGTAATTATTTTACATTTGAAACAACCTTAATAACAATGTTTACAATCTTAACCTAAACTCTCGTCAATAACATATATATCTGCAGTAGAAGAAACTAACCCTCGATTAAGGGGGTGTGTCTGGCGCCGCCACGAATCGTTCTCCATGGCCATGTCAATGACAGAAGTCGCAAACTTTTGCTTTTAACCACTCACGTCTCCAGAATACAATCAATGTACATAAACGGACACCGGCTCCGAGCGAAATTTCTTTTGAAGATCATGACATTTTCAAGTGTCTTGTACAAAAACTTTGAAAATGAAATCCCGGAAGCGTTTCGAATATAGCTTCGGATCAACAGCGGAAATCGAAGTCGGATCGTATTGCACTGATTTATACGCATGCTCAAGCTTCTTGCTGATATCATAGTCTTGTAGAATGTCTATTATACCAAAGAAGAGAATGACATCACATGTTTCACCAGTTGGTTCTCCGATCAGTTGACAATCGGTTTTTCTCACCGTCTTTTCGGCTCGAGCAGCTATTTTTATACCTAACCTATCGGAAGACCGCCTGCATATTTTCATATCAGAAAATCATCGGAACCACTAATTCAAACCACTTCATAAAGACATCATTCAACATTTTAGGTATATAGATTCTTGTGACAATGGCAATCGGTTTTACCTTGTGGAGTCGATAACAAGCTGATCATTGCTAGCTTGAGATAGCAGAGGAGCTTCACGAAAGTGCAATCCGACCAGCAAACTATAATCCATAATTCTCTCTCTTTCGAGAAAGTCGCAATCTATTTCAACTTGCCTGCACGAAAGGTGTTGAAAAAGGAATCAGACAATATGAACATAAAAAATTAAGGTTCTTTGAAAACAGAATCACCTGCAGAACTCTGGGAACCACAGTTTCTGCAATCGAAATATGTAATTGAGATCGAGGTCTTTGAGGGTTGTTGTTGGATCGATTTCTGATTCGGGTATAGCCGTTGTTCGACCTTGGAAAGAACCTTTCAAGTCGAAGCGCCTATGAATGGCACAGTCGGTACAAAACAGATTGCCAATTATAACAAATCGAACCTGACTCATCCAGATCACAAATGAAGAACGTATGAGATTATCTTCAGAAAATTTATGAATTCGAAGATGCGTTCGAAGTCGAAACCGTATGATATTCACATTACCTTTCTCTGTACTGCCCCGGTTAATTTCACACAATGCAGACCGAAAATTTTGGTAACTAGAGTGTCCTTGAAGGACCGAACATGCATATAATAGGCCGGAAGCATTCTTATAAGAACCTGCAAGTGCAATAATGTCCGCAATGCATTGATTATTTAGTCATCAAGAGTGACTTATGCACTTTATAAGTAATGTCGAAAAGTTCCGAAAACATGAAATTCTACGAGAAATTGCAGGTTTCCGAGTTGGTTCCAATAGAAAAAGAAAACATTTAGTACTTTTGCTTCTGTCTTCTTCATTGTCTTGATCATGTATTTGTCATCACTGGTCAAGTAAAAAAAACTTCCACTTTTTCCAGGGGATGATAGTTCCCGAAGGGCGTCGTTCCCGCATAGCGAAAGCATGTAATCCGCTGAATCGACATCGAACAATTTCCTGAGGGTCCTGGAAATGAAAAAAGAAACACAATGGTTCATCAAAGAATGATTCATCTGTTGTGAACAAGTAGACAATCTGGTCTTGAACCTGAATACAAGTGGACAGTAATCCTTCCATCTGAATTCGCAAGATTGATGACATGGAGTGTACTTCGATCCTTCCGGCGGAAACTTGGTCCATACTTTTTCCTTAGGATCAAATGCTGAAGACTTCAATTCATTGGTTATAGGCGGACCAGGTCTTCCAACAGAGTGTCTGCAAAATAACCAGAGAACCAATACATGCATAATTAGTACATTCATCATTCTATCTCGAATCAGAAATGAGTTCGAGACCGAGAATAAAATCAATAAACATGATCTAGAAAGCGATACATATACCGGAACAAATAGCATTCAAACTAACAAGAACTACCTGATACCAAGTTGCAAGTTAAGCATGAGTTCATAGTTCTTGTGTCCCCTGGATATCGTCCGCCCTTGCTTCTTCATTAACAACACAAGCTGTGGAGAAATCGTTTTCGTCTCCGGACCTTCGGAATTAATATTTCCTCCGCTTTCATCGCCATTCTTCGAGTTTTCTTCACTTGCAGAAGAAAAACCATCGAAATCACTGAAACTATACCTACTTAAACTCTCATCAGACCTTCTTTGCTTCCTACCATTGTATTGGGCCGTTCCGGTCCAATTCGGCATCTTTTCGGATGGCATGATCGATATTTTCTCACAAGGACATATCTTGCAGTCCTTTAAATCTTCAGAAAACACCTGTTGAGGATCCCAATCTAGATTCTTAGTCTGAGAATCAGAAGGATGATAAGTTCCATTATGTTCTGTACTATCTTTACTCCATACACCAACATAAGAACTCCCATTGGGCCATGTATAAGTCCCACTCCCTTTAGGATAACCTTCCTCCCAAGCCCCTTCATACCTATTCCCATTGGTCCAAATCATTGTCCCATTGCCATTCATCAACCCTTTCTTCCATTGACCGACGTAACGGTCCCCGTTTTTCCACCAGTAATTCCCGTGTCCTTCCTGGTATTCACGGCGCCATTCGCCCTCGTAGCGATCCCCGTTGGGATAACTATAAGTCCCTTCACTTTGTTTGAAGTTCATAATCCAAGACCCTTCATAAGTATCCCCTGAAGTTCCTGTAAATGTCCCTTTACCATCCATGAAACCATGCTTGAAATCTCCTTCGTAAGTGGCACCGGAAGGCCAGAAAAACTTGCCTTTCCCTGTAATCTTGCCTTTAAACCATTCACCAACGTACATACAACCATCAGTCCATAGGTAGTTGCCTTTGCCATGGGGCAAACTCTTATACCATTGGCCTGTATAAAAGTCGCCTCCGGGAAGGGCCTTTTCGACATGATGAACGTCTCCAGTGTTTGACTCTTTGTCTTCATTGTTGTCGGCATGAGCCACTGACATTGCTGTGAATAGGCTGATCGCTTTCTTCTTTGCAGCTACTTGCGAGTTCTTCAATTTAGCTTCCAAGGTCTTTTTAAAGCTTAGCTTTTTATTCATTTGTGTATTTCTATGTTATAAAACAAATTACATATCTTTAAACAATAACTCAAAAGATCAAAACATATCCCTTCTTTGTCTCTTTATCTGGCATCAAGGTGGGACAAATGAAGAACACAATAAAAATGGAGGGAAATGGAATCATCTGATTAATAAAAATAAAGAAAAATCCAGTTTTTCATGGACTAAAATGGGTATTTTTCAGATTTTGAAAACACAAAGAAATGGATTCAAAGAGTAAAGACCCAAAGAGGAAAAAAGAAAAAAATGGGAGAAAATTGCCATAAAAATGGGTATTTTCTGGGATTTGGTTTCATTTTTTGTTGGATCATAGAACAAAACATTTTCCTCGGATTTGGTTCCTCAAAAAACTAGGTGACCAAACAATTGGAGGGAGAATACAATGCTTTCATTGCCATTTTTAGTGTCTAAAAATTGTTCCAACTATCACTAATTTTAATTAGCATGTTATTTTCACTACTCTCTTCTCTTCTTGTTTATTTTTCTTCTTTAAATAAAAATTGTTTTTTCAAAAATATAATATTTTTATTTATCTACTACAGGCCACGGAAGCTGCTCTCACGGTGGACAATTCATAATTTGGAGGTCTCTCACGGAAGCTGCTATCAACCTGACGTTGGGGCAGCCTACTATCGTACCTCCCCCTTACCTCATTACATATGGAATAAGGGTCAGCTATGTACTACAATATCCAAAGTAAATTAAAGATAATTGTACTTGTACAAAATCAAAATTTTGATTTCTTGGACGTTGAAACAACAATAATCCCATTCGAATTAATGTTTAATCAATTTAAATAATATAATAAATTGGCTTAATATCCAAATAACTCAAACTATACCTATTTTCCCGAATAGGTGCCTACATTATTTTTTGGCCCATCCACGTGCCTAACATTACAAACGTTACCACTTTAGGTGTTCGTTCTGTCAATGGTGTTAATTTCCTTCGTTATGTAACATGTGTCATAATCTGATAATTTTAAATTTTTTTATTAAATTTAAAAAATAAAATTATATATGTTTAAAAAAGAAAACATATAAATTTTGAAATAACCCCTGAAAACCTTCATTTCAACCTCTAAACTCACGTCAACCGTCGTCGACGAAGCTCCACCCGACATCACCTCCCACAAACGACCAAAACCCCTATGAAATCGTGATCGATCGACGACGAATCGACGTTTTAAACCCCACATACCCTAGGATGAAAATTACGATCCCACACGATTCCGATGACCAATCGACGACAACCACGGCGACATATAACTAGGATGATGGCAGATACTACATCGGCGGTGGTGGTCGTGGTCGGAAAGGGCGGCGGGGGGTTAGTGTTAGTGTTAGGATTTGGGGATTTTAGGGATTTTGAGGCTTTTTTTGTAATTTAAAATAAATTAGGGTTTTTTTATAAATATAATAATATTTTAAATATTTTTAAAATATATATATATATAAATTTCAAATTTACCAACATGTGTCACTTAACGGAAAAAACTAACGGTCATTACGTCCTAGACACCTAAATTGGTTACGTTTATAACGTTAGGCACCTAGATAGGCCAAAAAATAATGTAGGCACCAATTTGGATAAAAAGGGTATAGTTTGGGCACTTATTTGGGTATTAAGCCTAGTAATTTAATTATGCTTTTCTTAGAAAAAAATCTTGTTTTTATGTTGATTTTTTATTTTTATTTTGTTTTTATATTTTTATATAAAGTTAATTGTATTAGATGTGTTTAGATCTGTAAGTATGGGCGTAAATAAATAGAACGTTCGACAAATTATTTGTGAATCATTTGTATAATTTTTGTTTATTAAACTAAATAAAAGGAGTATGAAAAAATTATGTTTATTTAATAAACGAACGAACACGAATAAAGTTATGTTCGGATTTTTTATGTTCACAAACAAATTCATTTATTGACTCGATCATAAGCTCGTTTATTGACTCAATCATAAGTTCATTTATTCAGTTCTTTTTTTCTTTTTCTTTTTCTTTATATCTTAAATATTGGTTCAGATAGAGATTAAGTTGAACATAAGGTGAACTTTGGAGTTCAAACTTTGAAACTTAAGGAAATTAAGGGCTAGTAGTAAAATTTCACCATTTTTCTTTTGCTGGCAAATTAAAAGGTTAAAAGAGAATTTCGATTGTTGAGTATTACAGATGTTAAACGAACATGTTTGTAAACTTTAAACGAATATTTTCACGAACGTAAAACGAATGAATGTGAACACTTTTAAAATAAATAAACGAACGAACATGAATATGATACTAAAAATTTAAATGAATACAAACTAAACATGAACATGATACTGAAAATTTAAACGAGATATGATAGTCGTTTGAGATTCTGAGATAAGATTTTAACATATCTCAATCAGCAAGTTAACATTCATCTCAAGTTGCCATCAATTTTTTTGATGAAAAATGATGAGTTTGGAACATATAAATACCTGAGTGATCATTTTGTAACTTTTAGTAGTCGGGGGCTCAACAAAGCGACGCCCTATAGTTGAATGATCATTTTGTAACTTTTAATAGTCCGGAGACTCAATAAAACATCCTATAATCGAAAAACCATTTGTGTACTTTACCCTAAATTTAATACTAAATTCAGTATTATTTTTTAATTCATCAAACAATATTTAAAAGTAATTGGATGGAAAAGAGTACTAATTTAATTTAAAAATTCAATCAAAACATTTTAGAAATTTTATAATTTCAGAAAAAAGAAATATGTACCTTCAAATTCAATGGAGGTCGACTTGAACTTTTATCAAACAACATGGAGAATAAGTCATTCTGGATTGAGCTTGTCTCCTTCAGTTGACAACAATGGGAACTCAAGCAAGTGCTAAGAACAATGGAGAGAGATGCAGGAGGATCCAAATTTCAATTCATTTTAAATACAAAAAACAAGAACAAAACATGTTTTTTCAGGGAGACAAGAAAAGTACAAAACAGCAAACACTCGTCTTTGGTTGGCCAATGTTGAAACACCGTCTGTAATGGTGTTTTTTATTGCAAACGTGCACCGTTGCTCTCTGTGTGTTTTAGGGTTCAGACTCAGACAAGGTCAACACATTGAAAATGAAAAATCTGAAAACCCTGGACCCATTTTCTAGTTGGATTCTTAATTAGGATGAAACATGTCCTTTTCTTACACGTTTTCATCTGGTGAAGGTGTCGATGAATATTGTTTGTTAACACGGACGGACGTAAAATTTTATGTTAGGGAATGACTTTAAAAAACTTTAAAGAAGATGAAATAGGATTTTTAATAAAAATATACATAAAAAATTAAAATATACGATAATTTTAAATTTTCATAACACACCCTTTTTGTCCATCCGTGTTTGTGTAAATATGTTCTTATCACTTCAAATTAGTAGTTCTAGTTAATCTAACTCAAATCCAAACGTAACAACATGGGGTAAATATGTACTGTGGCATATGAATTTGATTTTTAATTTCAATTTAATACTTGTGGTTTTTACGGACAATTAGATACTTAAACTTAACTTCTTAACACAAATTAGATTATTCTGAATTTTGATTTGTTCTTATTGCTAAACTTACATGAATATAAATTCAAATATCAATTTAAACCACAGAAACCAATTTCAAATACAACCACACAACTAAATTAACATACCTAATAGTACTCGAAAAAATTCAAGTATTAAATTGAATCTTAAGTCTAATTCATTTATCAGAGTATATATTTACCCAATAATATAAAAATTTTACTTAAGATAATTTTATTTTTATGGGTAGTTACGATGATTTAATCTAAGGTTAATATGCAGTGAGTTTTTACCTAAAATATTAGTATGTCCAACCTAAAAAATTATACAATTGGTAATAATTTCGGTTACAACCGAAAATGTTACACTGTGATGGGTTTAACCTAAAATATTACATGTTTACTCTAAAAAGTTACGCGACTAATAATAATTCCGGCTACAACCAAGAATGTCTTGACAAACTCTTTAGGTTGCAATGAGACTAATTATGTAATTTACATAATTTGTTAGGAAGAGCATAATATTTTCAGTTTCAACTTAAAATGTTACTTAATTTACTCGAAAAAGTACACTTTAGTAATTTTTTCAGTTATAATCTATTTTTATACTTTTTAGTTTTATATTAATTGATTGTATTTTGGACTCATCTATTTTCTACATATTATTTGAAATACTAAATTTTTTTTTATGTTATCAAAATTTGATTTGTGATGTCTGAAATTTAGATGAAAGATGAGACAAAAGGTTGGTATTGTGAACAAAGGGCTTGCAAATGATAGAAATGTAACAAGCGCTAGAGACGAATATATAATTTTATATTAGAGGGACAAACTTTTAAAATTTTAAGAGAAACATATTTATAAAATTTTAGGAGAAACGAAAGCATGCATTTAATAAAAAATACATAATATATAATAATTTTAAATTTTCAGGGGATCGCTATGCCTACCTACCTCTTCGATCCATCCTTGCCCACACATGAATCTATTGTAACCATCAAAGTGTATGCGTTAATTCTTGGTTTATCTTTTGGGAGGCTCATGTCAATTTAGCATTGGATCATGTCTCTTCTTAGCTTCTAAGGACAAGAACATTAATTTAAAGCTCATTTTGGTTTACCGGTTTTAGATTTAGACAATTCAAACTCATGGTAGCCACGACTACCATTTTACGTTAAAGGTATGAGTTTTTTAAAATTTGTATTAAAAATTTAAGAATATAAATTTATAATATTTTAAGAGTATAAAATTAAATATAAAGACAAAATATTTAATCTATATGAGTATTTGAAAATTTTCAATAGTGAACTTTTACAAAATTATATTAGAAATTTAGGATACAAAATTATAAAATTTTAATGTGTGAAATTAAATATATAAATTATATGAAAATTTAAATTTTTTAAAAAGTACGACTACTCCAACATCCATTGGTCCTGACCATAAATTATAAGGTAAACTACATAAATGATCACTCATATTTGAGTAAGTTCCTCTTTTTTCTATTGATGTCTCAAAACTAATCGTTAGATCATTAACGTTATTGATTTATAACAAATCAATCATTTGACGTTAATAATCATTATTGTGAGTAAAAATTTTATTAAAAAATCAAATTTTATATTATACATTGTCTTTGTATTATTTTTGAATAATTCCTACCTAAGGAGGAGAAGAAAAAATTTATTCATAATGAGTGTTAAACTCATAATTAAAAAAAAAAAGAGATACCAACTTAAAACTTCTAACCGTGTACTCTAAAAATTGTCGAATTTCTTTATAATATTATATCGAATAAATGACATAAGAGATACCAAGGTATAGTCCATTCTTTATTTTTAAATATTATAAAATAATCAAAGTGGTGAATGTTTCGAAGCATCAAAGGCTTCCATCCTCCCAATATTATATTAGGATTAAAAAAATGCAATCTTTTACTTTTTATCACATTAATAAATAAGTTTATACCTTTCCCACTTAGGGCCTCAACGAATCTTTATCCTTAACATTAAGGGTAAATTACTTAAATCATCACTGATATTTCTTATTTTTCTATTTTCGTCATTGTATTTTAAAACTTTTTAATTTACTCACTAAAATTTGAAAATTGAATTTTTTATCGTTTTTTCGCTAAATAACTAACAACTTTATGACATGAAAATTTACACCAAAGTGATATTATTTAAATCTATGAAAAAAATTAAATTTAAACCAAAATGACATCATTTCGATTCCTTATAAAAATTATTTTTTCTCATTTTACTCCCATTCCTCATTTTTAATTTTTTCACCCTGTTTTCTCTCACGTTTCTCTCCTCAATTTAAATGCATGTTTTCTCCCCCATTTCATTTCACCGTTACCAAAAACTTGTTCTCCCAATTTGAATAACACCCAAAATTCATTCTTGCATGCAAATCTTACTAGTTCAAGCAACAGGGTCGAAAGGAATAAATTTCCAAGGATAATTGGACTACAATCGTTACTGAAAATGGTGTCGACTATTTAGCTAATCAGAGTAAAAATTCCATGGTTAAATCTGATTCTTCTAACAAGATAAGTTTAGAAAACACGAGTTTTCATCCTCCTAACACGAATATAAACATCCATAATCCGCCTGTCTTCAAATATGCCTAGTTCAAGCAACCAGGGTGAAAAGAAAAAGGTTTCGAAGGCTATTATGATTGGTATTCGTTTTATAAATCTGGGTCTTGTTCCTTTGTGTTTTGCCAATAGAAGGAGTGATGAAGGTTATCTAAACCGGTAGACGTAGGTTGACTAGTTGCTAAGAATGAGGTCGTGAGGGTGGGGTGGGGTTTGTGCTTTAGGATTTGGTGTTGGAGTTTAGGTTAGAGATAGGAAAATATTGTGGGATATTTGTGTGGCTGAAGTGAAGGTGGCTTAGGATGATAATAAACATATGGTTGGGGCTTGATTTTAGATTGTCTGAGAGTCAGGGGTAGTGCTTGAGCATAGGTGAAGCCGTGAAGGTGACCCAAAGTAGCGGTGGTTGAGAGTTTCAATGGTAAGAGACGATGGAGAATAAAAAAAATAAAACTAATATTTATACAATATTACTTGAGATCTACATAACAATTCAAAAATTAATAAAAAAATCCATATCATCATATAGTAAAAAAAACGGTTGAATGATTAAAAAAATTCAATCTTCAAAGTTAAGTGAGTAAATTGAAAATTTTTAAAGATTATTGACCAACATAAGAGAGAGAGAGAAATTCAGTGATGATTTGTGTAATTTACCCTAAAATTAAATATTTTTTTGGTAACAATTGACTGCAGCAGCAGTAAATTAATCCTCTATTCGAACAAACATTTTTTTATAATTTTTATATATTTTTTATTTAAGTTCAAACAAAATTTTATTAATTAATAATTCGTAGAAATGTAAATGAACTAAACTAACACAAACGAATGTATGTTTATGTTTGTTATTTAACTTTAACCGAACGAATGTATGTTTATGTTTGTTATTTAACTTTAACTGAACGAACATGAACTACTAAACAAAAAAATTTATTTGTGTTTGTTCGTTAAAGAATGTAGTTTGTTCCTGTTCATTTATATTCGTACGTTAAAATGATAAGCGAACACAAACAAAAGTAAAAGAACATAAATTTAAACAATTTAGATTTTTTTTCAATCTATTGTGAAATGAAAGGGACAATGAGCTGCGGGGTAGAAAATACATACATGAATAAATTTAAACGAACATAAACAAATAGATTATCGAAAGTTCACGAACATAAATGAACAAATAAGTACTTTGTTTGTGTTCGTTCATTTAATTAAACAAATAATAAATCATGTTTTATTCGTTTAATAAATAAACAAATATAAATGAACTTCCCACTAAACGATATATAAACGGTTCACTAAACGTTTGATTCATTTACAACCCTAATTATTCGAATAAGATAAGGTCTATCAACTTGCCCAAAAAAAAATTTTACTGCATGGTTTAATATCTCATATATTAACGGTGAGAATTAAATATATTATAACTAGAATTGTATCATCTATTTTATTCAAGCCATAGGATCATCTAAGTATATAAATGATGTAGAAATAATACATATTTATAGAACTTAAATTTTATAAAGTTTATGTATCAAATAATTTATTTAAAAATAAAATAATTCTGAAAAATCATGCGGGTAACATCCTTATGCGTATAAAAACTATTATTAAACTAATTTATTAAAATTAAGAATTAATATTAATCAAATGATCATATTAATCATTTAATTAAAAATTATTAAATAACTCTCTATAATCAAAAAAAATATTTTATAACTTTTAATAATAAAAAAATTAATAAAATAATATCCTAAAATTATCGATTTATATCCCAAATTTATATAAAAAAATTTATATAGATCTCACCGACTATTCAATGTCACTTCATTGGTGATGGGATCTTTACATGTTGCTTTTAGTTTCCTCGTTTCATACCAAATATAAGGTTCGTTCTAAAGCCCACCAACCTCTCGATTTCGAGTTTTCCAGCACCTACACTTCCTACTCTTCACTTTTCCAAATCTCTCCCCACACGATTCTCGATCCAACGCAGCAAAAAGAACACACAGATCCTTCAGTTTTTTGCCTCTCCCTTCTCCACACGTTACTGCAGTATGTTTCTCTCTCTAACATATATGCAAACGTATTGTTTGCTTCTTTTTGGCTCTTTATCTTCATGCTTTATGCCATGTAAGTTTTCATGGGACCAGGAACTTGGGTCTTGAGTTAGTGAGCTTGTAATACCATATTCACTCACAAAGTTCTTAACTTGCATCTGGGTTTTTCTTATTTACCCTGTTTTTCATTAAAAGATTGTTGCTTTCATGTCAAATTCTCACTCCATTTTAATTTTAATGGATATCCAGTTTTGCTCTTTAGGTAGAGTTTCAGAAAAAAATGAATTCTTATATTCGTTTATCCATCTTTTATTGGTTTCTTGTTTGTTTGAATTGTGATTAATATTGATGACAAGTTTTGTGATTAATTTACTTATTTCAGTTTGTTGCTGGTTGATCTATCCTAGGGTCCTTGAATTTTGTTTGATATGTTTTGAAGTATTTTCTATGAAATTTGGTCCTCATAGAAACAGGGTTAATTACTGGTGATAGCATTGTTGTTTCAATTGATATCGATGAATTTGAATGTTTGGTTTGGTAAGTTTAATTGAACATGGATCCCACTTTCTCTTTGGTTGTTTTTTATTCTTATACGGAGAAATGCTGTTATTTTACCTTGAAATGTTTCTTGAATTTCGGTATGCCATGGGAGCCTCTCTTTTGATGTTTCATCCTCATTAATATCTTGTCTATTTTATGAGGATTTTCTGGCTATTCTCTTTATTTTTTGTGTGGCATATGAAGTAGTACTACATATTCCGACTTACGAAAACTCTTGCTTGATCTTGATTTCTCTTGGATTACTGTAAGGTCCGTAACCTCACGACCACTGGCTTCTCGATCTGCATCAAATTGATTTAGGGTAATTCTTCTGCAGGTTCTATTGGAGCTTGCATTCTTGTGCTAGTCAACCGGAACTTCATTTGTTAGGAGACTATTGGATTAGGGGCTGTTTCATCATTAACCGGCTTGGATGCTATTGGAGTAAGGGTCTTGTTATAAGCCACTTGGAGGGTCGGAGTCCTTAGTTAACTAGAACCATCTATGATAGTGAGAGAACATGGGGCGTGCTTCACCACTCGTTCTGGTTACGTTAGTACTTGGATTTTGCTTTGCAGGATATAATCTGGTAACAATGGTAATGCACAACAGAGCTATTTCAAGATGGGTAGAGGACGACTCCAACGGTGGGGTATTTTTTGATCCTGTCATTAGGATGCCTGAAAATATGAGGAAACCAAAGACTGTCAAAGCACCTTTCCATGTTGCGTTAACGGCTACTGATGCGCCATACAGTAAATGGCAGTGTCGCATTATGTACTATTGGTATAAGAAGCAGAAGGACTTGCCTGGTTCAGAGATGGGAGGTTTCACGCGTATTTTACACTCTGGAAGTCCCGACAACTTAATGGATGAGATTCCTACTGTTGTAGTTGATCCTCTTCCAGAAGGGTTGGATCGAGTGGGTTCTTCACTTCACCATATTTTTGGTTACCATTTGAGATTTCTTTCGTTTCCATCTCTTCTATAACGTGTGTTAAAAGTCTTATATGGTCTTAGATTTTCATTGTTTTCATTTGAATCACGTCTCCTCATAGACATGGTGAACTGTTTTGTTTCTCTGTAGTCGGTAGATATTCTTCTGTCTGTTCCTGTCACTTCTATTATGTGCCACATTTTCTTAAAATATTCCTCTCATGTCAGGGATACATTGTCTTAAATAGACCGTGGGCGTTTGTGCAGTGGCTGGAAAAGGCCACAATCGGCGAAGAGTGAGTTTTTTACGTGTCGTGATTTTTTTATCCGTTTCATCATATCTTAATCGGTTTCTAAAGCGAGCTGCACTCCTTTTGTTTTTCTCTTGATACAGTTATATATTGATGGCAGAACCTGATCACATATTTATCAGTCCCCTGCCTAATCTCGGAAGTGGAGGGTTCCCAGCTGCATATCCCTTTTTCTACATTAAGCCGGCTGAAAATGAAAAACTGTTGAGGAAGTTTTTTCCCGAGGAGATGGGACCTGTAACAAATATTGATCCAATCGGCAATTCACCTGTCATCATCAAGAAGGTGAAACTCCTCTATTAACTGATTCCTAACTTGGGGTTTATGCCCGTTTTGTTGTTCGGCAGGTTATAGTGTGAAAGTCATGTTTTCCACTTGGATGATTTTCACTAGGAATGCTTTATCATATCTGTTCTCAGATGATTGTATTTGTTCGTGTTTTCTCCCCTTAATGCCATTCCTTTTACGTTGTCAATATTGTTTTCTTGTTGATTTGCATTTGGATATTATAAGGTTTCTGTTATATTAAAACAAGATGCTTTCAATTTGATTTGATTTTCTCATACAGGATTTACTGGAAAAGATTGCTCCTACTTGGATGAATGTTTCTTTGAAAATGAAGGATGACCCTGAGACTGATAAAGCTTTCGGATGGGTTCTAGAAATGTAAGTATTGGCGTCCAAAATTGCTATTGGTTTGACAAAATGTTTAACCATCTGCATATTTTCCGTACCGATTTGTTTTCTCTTTCAAACATAAGGTATGCTTATGCTGTGGCATCTGCTTTGAATGGCGTGCAGCATATACTTCGGATGGACTTTATGCTGCAGGTTTGGCACCTTATGTTTTAAAGGTTTCCATTATGGTTGTTTTCTGTGTAGTTTCGGTTAAATTTAGGCATCAAAGAGAGTTGATGCATTTTATATATTTCAGCCGCCATGGGATTTCGAAATAGGGAAAAAATTCATAATTCATTACACCTATGGATGCGACTACAACATGAAGGTAAACTGTTTTATACATATGCTACTTGCTTTGTGAAATATAATTCTTGTCGTTGTTTGCGTTAAACTTATTCCTATATTGCTGATACTTTACTTATTTGTCATTTAACGTTCAGGGCGAGTTAACGTATGGTAAAATAGGCGAATGGCGATTTGACAAGAGATCGTTTTTACATGGACCACCTCCGCGAAATCTTTCCTTGGCTCCTCCAGGGGTCCCAGAAAGTGTGGTATGTCTTGATAAATATCAGAACTAAGATCTGCTACCTGTTATATACTATAACGCTTTTATGTCGAAAATCCATTTTAATATGAGCTGCAACTTACTACAATATCCAGTTCAACGCAATGTTGTCGTGCTATTGAAGCCTGGCATGTTTGTGAATATTTTATATTTACTTGGGGTTGGGGACAACGCATCATGTGTGGTATGGGTAGTTTGTTCTCTGGAATTTTGACGAACATGATGGCGCGGAAATTTTTTTGCCGTTAGGTTTGTGAATCTCAACTTGATGCCTAGTATTGACTTTGTTCTATCAAAAATTAGTGATTGACAAGGGTACAGATTGTTGAGGATTAGAAACCGAGTTTCGTATTTATGGATCGGAAGAACATTTATACTATTATTGATCAAAGAAGTCTAATAGAAACCGACCCTATGGAGGTGTTAGATGCCTCGTTCTAACAATGGCTGCATGAACCAATTAAATTAAGCTTCGACTCGGTTTTTTGTAAGCTAGAGTGCAGTTCTATCTTTCCATTCCATACCTTCTTAGCATATATTGCAATCAAGTGTGAGATGATCTTTGTTTTATCGGAGACATTGCTTATCAAGCTGAACCAAGCCATATGGCGGATTATTTGAGCTTGGACTCGAGCAAAACCTAGCAAACTCAATCGAGCTTAGCTCAGTTGGTTCATGCAGTTACCCTTAAGAGTTTTTCTCTTTCTACAGCTTTTTGCCATGGAAATGATTGAATTAATGTGGTTGAGCAGGTGAGCCTTGTGAAAATGGTGAATGAAGCAACTGCAAACATTCCCAATTGGGACGCTTCATAAATGTCAAGTGGGGAAATACACAGCCTTAGCATATTTTGGGTAAAAAGGAAATTTGTTAATTTTTTTTCTACTCTTGGAAAATTATATGTATAAATATCACTTCAGCTCATTGTTTTTCTTTTAAATTTTCAGTGCAAACTCTAGATTTTACTTGGTAATTTTAAATATGATACATAAATATAATACGCTTAATTAACATGAAAAATGAAAAAATCCTACGCCTCTTGTATCTTTATTATGCAACTAACAAATTGTAATTTATGTTCAGAGTATTGCTTATAATGGTAAGAATACACATTTCATAATAAGATAAGTAGGGTTGTAAATAACCTAGTTAGGTTCGAGTATTGTTGAGTTCAATTCAATTCAAAAAGTCTAAAGTTGAGCTCGACTTGAAAACTTGTGAGCTTAAAATTTTTAAGCTCGGCTTGAAATAAAAAATTGAAGTTCGATTTGAGTTTGGAAAATTTTGAACTCGAAATATTCTTAGACTTAATTTGATTGAAGCTCAAATTTAAGCTCCATTTAAGGTCGAATTTGAATCTTAATTACATGAAAGTCTTATATCATATTTTTTAAAATAATATGTTAATCTTCATATTATTAATAATTTAATTTTAAAAATTAAAATTTTAATATATTATTTTTTGAGTTGTTCACGAGTTTCTTGATTTAGTTATCAAATAGTTAGTTTCGACTTGTTAAGAATTCAAGTCGATTTCAAGTTCGGGTTGAGTCCATTGAGTCATTTGTTTCAAATGTTGATCGAGTAAAATTTGAGCAACTCGCTATCTATCTTGTCTCACTTACAACCTTAAAGACAAGAACCAATTAGATATTAAACGAAGAAGGGAGTATTAACTACTGAGTATGTAAGGTCCGAGAGGAATCTAACTGAGTTATTAATCAAATGGTTAAACAGAAAAATGTTCATGTATTAATCTAGGGATTTGTCTTAAGCTTTTTGTTTAATGAATTAATCAAACATCAGAGTATTATCCTTTTTGTTCAAAACTTAAATAAAGAGATTTTTAACACAAACTTTTTTTTTAAAAAAAATACATATGGATACTATATAGTTATTAGAACACTTGCATACTACGTATTGTTGTACTAGTTTAAAGTTATAGCACATATCAATAATCCAATTAGGGATAGGTATGCGTCCCGTTGGGTCGTGTTTCCAGTCAATCCGACCCGACCTGAAAATTATACACCCTTCACTCGACACGAATTCAATCTGTCTTTTTGAGATAAAACTCGAACCCGACATGAAATAATATATTTATAAAAATATTACTTTTATTCAATAAAAAATAGAGATTTAACTGACAAAATAACATACAAAAGGATTTTATTGTAATTATCCATAAATATATAAGATAAAATTATATTTTTTCGGGTCGACCCGACCCGAACATAATCTCTAAAAAAATTCTACTTGATCGAAACTCAATTTTTTTATAAAAAAAATAGACTGTGTCGGGTTGGAGCCTGAGTCCGGGTCCCATGTTTATCTCTAAATCCAATACACTATCAACGTTTTAAATATAAATCTTTAACAAACGTATAAAACAACTATTATACTTCTATTATTCTTATATAAAAAATATATTTATAATTTAACGATTAACAATCGAGTAAATGTTTGTCAAAATTGAGGAAGCATATTTGAGCAGTTGACTATGTTGCTAATCTTTGTTCTCTCATATTCCCTTAAATAATGAGTTTTATACTTACTAAGAGTATTCTACTTCCTTTCTCTAGAGTCCCCTTCCCCTCACATTTAGGTAGGATTAAGATTTGATCTAGAATTTGTTAAAAAAATTTATTAAAATCCGTAATCATTAACAGTCATTTCTAACAGTTCAATTAATCAAAATTATTTTACTTTAATGATTCTATTAATTAACTTATAAACATAAGTTAATCTGTACACCCTAATATTAATAGTTTCAATGGTTTAATATTTTAAACATATTTAATAATTTAAAATTAAAATTATTTTTAAAAGCGAATATTTTAAAATATATATTTTATTTTAAATTTTTTACTATTATCTTATAGTATATAATACAATTATACGAATATATTGGAGTGTCGGTGGGGGTAGAGGATGTATTGTAAGTTGTGACCAAAGTCACGAGCCTGAAAAACAAAATGTAGTGTCATCAGTCCATAGTCAAACACTTTTCAACTTTCATATTTAATATTTTTCCCATTATTATTTTCCCTATATCTCCCAATTCAATTATTATATTTGAATATATTAAATGATTTCATTGACTAAAAATAGTATTATTTTTTATAAGGTTTTGAGTTTAAGCATTTGTGTTTATAGAGTGTGTGTGCATTATCAATGATTAATAAATATTATTAGGAGATATTATCTTATAATCACTCAAAACTATTAAAAATATATTATATTTAAGAATATATTGATTATTTTCAGAGATAGAAGATAATATTTTTCTACTTAAAGGATATGAATTTGAACAACTACCTCTATAAAATCTATATATTTATCAATAATTAAAAAAATTAGCAGATACTACATTATAATCATCTAAAACTTTCAACAGAAACTATTAATTTTTTTTTACTTAGAAAAATAGTTAGAATTATTTTTTATAAAAAGTAATTCGTTTATTATTTTTGAAAAATAATTGAGGGAAAATGCTCGAGTAAAAATGAATGGTCACACATGGGTTGGGACCAGGGCACTAGAATTTGTTTGAAGTGCTAGGACCCAGCAATTGCTTATTATTACCCGTGATACATCCTGTGCGTTCAACTTGGGGTTCCCTCAACCTCTCTTGCCCATGCTCACCCCTTGAGTTCGAACATGGATGGATCTAGAAATATTATAATGTACTTGTATTTTTGAAAATTTAAAAAAAAATTATATTAATTTTATTGATAATTTAATTTTGTAGTTCTAAAAATTTTATAATTTTATAATGAACATTCAAATATTCTTTTTAAATATCGTGCTCAAACTCAAAATTTATAAAAATATAATATTCTCTTTAACCACTAAAATCATTTAATTCATACTTAAAATATTATAATATTTTGAATCTATATTTATGTAAAGAAATATTAAAAATATATAAAATGGATGTAATTGATAGAATCGAGGAACAGTGACATTCCCCCGTAACGTGCAAAAGTTTAAAGTGCAAATTTGCAAACATGTGAAGAAGGGGTGTCGGCCAAAAAGTAGATAACAACCCACCTTTACCGCTCAGGCAATCTAATGTGCTCACGTGACAGTCTTTTGTCATTTTATATAGATATCTTTTATTATAATTTTATTAAATTTTAGGGTAAATTATATCTATGACCACTTAACTATTGTTATTTTTTACTTTGACCACTAACTTTTTAATCTTGTCAACTAGACCACTTAACAATATAATTGTACCGAATCAAGTCACCTTCTGTTAACATTTGATGGAAAAGTTGACATAACAATATTGCATATTTACATATTTGGTCCTCATTACTTACACATTCAATCAATTCAATCTTAATTTTAATTATTGAATCAGATAGTGTCACATGTCACCACCTGATTAAAATTAGGATTTTAAGAGATTTTAGGTTCTTTTGGTAATTATGAATTTTTTTTTTAAAAAATAAATTATAATTTAAAATTTAAATAAAATGTTTAACCTTTTATAAACATAACATGTGTCAGTTAATGATCAAATTTAACGTTGTTATAGTCCATGCACCTAAGAGTGCAACGTCAAAATATTAGACACTTAATTTTAACGAAAAATTATTTAGAAACCAAAAGTTATTTTATAATATACTTTGGATGCTTACTTTTGCAGTAAGCCAAATAATAATATTTAAATGGTCATAGATATAATTTACTTAAATTTTAATTCATTTAGTATTATAATTGTCATTATACGAGTTTAAATAATACATAAAAATTTAACAAAAGCAAAAGATCTTTTGCCCTCAATTATGTAGCTTTCCAATGTATTCAATTTACATTGTAAAATCAAGATCTTACTTTTAACTTAAAAATATATGAAATGAATTCTAAAAAAGCAAAGTATATAATAAAATAGACAATTGAGTGCGCTCTTTTCGTTTCCATTTTAGTAGAGAAGCAGAATAGTGCAGATCCTTGTCGGTCTTATGATATCGTCATATCATCAGATGGCTGCATAATAATATACTAATCTAAGCTATTAATTTTATATTTTATAAAAAGTAAATTACACCTAATATTATTCAACCTTAAACTGTGTATTATGCATATCATTCAACTTTCGATTATTTTAATTTTGGTTTCAATTGTAATATTGGATTGTTTAAATTCAAACGAAGTGATGATGTGGAAAAATAACATTGCTTTTGTGTGACTTTTGGTTAAAAAACAACACTGATTTAGACACTAAATTTTAAGAGTGTATTGAATTTTTCACTAAAATTTTAAATCATTAGCTTTCTAGACATTGAACTTTTTAGTCACCACTGATAGTGTATCGTTGTGTAACACCCATAACTCATATAATTATACCTATACAAATTATAAATATCACCCGATTTTTTAAAATCATTTCCATTTCAAAAGTGATTTAAAATTTAATTTATTAAAATGGTAAATGATATTATAAAAATATCATATCAAATTATCACATACTATTTAAAATATATATTAATATGAATTTATGCTATCCATATTGAATCAGAGTAAATCAGTTTAGTTTAACCATTACAAACCAGTTGCAAAATAATTTAGCAGAGCAATTAGGACATTAATAATTACATGCCACTAACAAAGTCAAAATTCCATCATAGGATGTCTTACTAATATTGTAGTGTATTTCTAGATGCTCGGAGTTCCTTGTACTCTCTACTCTATTATTGATTTTTTACCTACGCGTGAAAATCATCACACGCTAAGTATAAACTTAGCAAAGTAATTTAAAAACAATAAACAATGCAATACAATTCATGCATAATTTTCAATGTCAAAAACAAATGCCATAAGATCATGTTACATGCATGTCCAAATTTACCATAATCAACATACTTATCATTTATCCCATAAGCTCGTAAGCTTATTTTACCAATATACTTACCATTTAATCCCATAAGCTTATTTTATCAATATACTTACCATTATTCCATAATTTTTCTCATCCTTTAAGACCAAAGCCTAATGGTTTAAAGATCAAAAACTAGATTTTCCATGATTTTGCTCGATTTTGATTCGATTCAAGCATGAAATCAACTTTCAATCAACCTTATAACATCTCTACAACCAAATCCCTTATCAATTCTCATCAAAACATAAAGTTCTCCAACTTAATAGTTGGCCGAAATTTATAGAATTAATTCTAGGAATATCGAACATGTTATAACCATACATCAAGCTTGAAAATGATTCTACAACCTCAAAATCATCAAGATTCATCATCAATTCCATGATCCCTTATATGAACACAAACCCTTAGATATGGGATCTTTGAAATCCAGCAAGATTATAAAGCAATATTGGTACCAATTGATAGCGTTTTTCGCGTAGATCACTTTCCTATTTCACGATATAACTCCAATTTCAAAGGAATTAGCTCAAAAATTGAAAATAAAATATTTTTCCTTACCTCCAAGCTATCTGACGTCCTTGCTTCTGGAGAAGAACACTTTGGCATGATATTTTTTATTGATATCATGCTTATCATCCTTTAAAATATTATTTAAATCATTAACTTGGGAAAATACCAATATACCCTTAATATAACTTCATAATTACCATAAAACCTAGATACTTATCCTTATCATCATTCAAATCATATCATCTGAACCTTATCTTCATCCATAAGTCAAATATGAACAAATTCTATCTTAGTTTACCGATTTTCCCTTGTAATTTCCAAAAATTACAATTCAGTCACTTTAATCAAACAATTGAAATTAAACATGGAATTAAACCATTAAATATTATTTTCTAACATTTTAAAAATGGAAAATTATATTTTTATTTACTTATTTTCGTGACCCATATGTAATTTTTTTAAAATTTCAATTTTGTCCTTGAACTTTTTAAAGTTTATACTTTGGTTACCAAACTTTACTAAATTTATAATTTGATCACTAAATAAATCCATTTATGAAATAAAATTCTTTTTGGAAAATCACCACTTAATTCCTTAGATTTTTCCCAACTTTCTACTTTGACCATCAAACTTTCAAAATTTGCATTTTGGTCATTATCTAAATTTTTGGGGTATTATACGTTGCCCTTCACCGACCATCATTCATGACAAGATCAGTTTTAAAACGTTCACATTTCATTTATCTTTCTTCTTCTAATATTGATTTTTCATAAAATCTACTCAAAATCGAAAAAATAAATAAAGAATTCATCAATTTTTTTTAGGATTATGGGGGCTTTCTCGGATATGAGAAGTTTGATTTTTGTTACAGGAATACAAAAAAACAAAACACCAATGTTTTTATTCGAAAAGAAAAGATTTATTAAACAAAATAACATAAAAATTTAAGTATATATTTATCTTAGCTTTTTTTATATTCTTTTAAGAAAGTTACATTTTATGTTTGTTCGTTTGTGTTCATTTATTATTTTAATAAACGAACATAAACGAAAAATTATATTCGTTTAGTTGTTTGTGTTGGTTGTTTTATTGAAGTTAAATCAATGAACATGAACATACCCACGTTCGTGTTCATTCAATTTGTTTACATGCCTAATTTCGATTGACCTCATATAAAAGAGCAAATACATTTGGTCGGTTGACTAAACTATTTATATTTCCTTAGGTCATGAATTCTAAACCCTCTAGGAGCACTTTCCTTCTCCTTGAATCCATCATTACACTCCACTCTAAGTCGGATTAAGATTAAATTTAAAATTTATAAAAAAAATAGAAAATTTGATTGGTTTATACGTTTTTATTGTTTGTAACAAGAAGCAGTATCACTTTATATGTTATTATTTTTATTTTTTAAAATAGAATATTTAATTCTATTAAATAAATAAAGAAAAAAATGATAAATTATGATTTTAAACAAAAAATTAAAAAATTGAAATAAATCAATCACATTAATCAATTATCTATTATAAAATCATTAAAGAGTACACTTTAGTCGTTAAATAAAAAAATATGATCATATACGAAAAAATTTTAAAAACCACATAACTCATGAAAATAGATGTTGACCATCGACTCTATCACAATTTAAGCACGACTTATTTAATGTGAGTGTGAATATCTATCGTATGAGAGAATTAATATGTGGTTTTAGATTAAGAATAAAACAAAATAATCAAATACACAAAAATCACTGAGACAACATCAAATCTAACATCGAAAATAGATTATAAAAACATGCTTTAAGAGTAGAAAAAATTTTACAAAAGCCGATAAAAAAATAAAACACCGATGTTTTTATTTGAAAAGAAAAGATTTATTAAACAAAAATAACATAAAATTTTAAAAAGATTAAAAAAAAGACTTAGGTCATTAATAGAGTTGATTCAAGTGGTAAGCAATTCGACATTGTTTAAACATGTCTCGAGTTCAATGTATTGTATATGTAGAAAAATTTTGTTGGTAGAGTACTCACATACTAAAACCAAGTATACAATATGAATTGATTTGAATTAATCAGAACAATGCCCTGAATAATGAAAAAGAAATACAAGACTCAGAGCACATTCACTTAGCCAAAGGCCATAAACATCGTCCCAAATGGTAAACAATAAAAACAAAAAGACTTAGAAATAGACAGAAAGAAAGAAAAAACATATTTAAATCCAACTTAATATAAGTGAAAATTGTACACCCAAATATTAAAAGATTTGCTAATCTTTGTCAGAATATTTTAATTGTGCATTTCGGACGACATGCAAGTGATGCACATTATTTAGATCCAAAATCTACGCCTAAAAGAAAAATTATTTAATGTAAGCGAATCTACAGAAATTGTTAATAAAATGTAAGATGTTTAATCAAATTAATTAATTTAAATTAATTTCAAATATATAAATAGCTTAATTAGTTAGATAATATTTCCTAAATTGAGAATTCATCAAACGATCTAAATAGTAAGTTTTGTTTTCTCTAGATATCACGAACTCGAATAACTATATTTATAAGGTGAGTGTATTGTCGTAACTAATAAAAATCATAAAAAATATTATATTATAATCAAAACTATTTTAAAACAGTATTCCCTGAGCTGGTTCCAAAGCATGGGGGGGAGTAGTCAGCTTCCCACTAATAGAGGTACCATACTAAGGTATCTGGTTATGAAAATGACTTTGCATTTTTTAAATTTAATTCGTTATGATAATTTTTTAAATAAATAAACCTTTTTTAGTTAGAAAATAGTTCGATTTCCATTAATATCCAACTCTATTAAAATCATAAACTAATATTTAAATTCGTAAATAATATCAACCTACGACTTCAATGCTAAGAAGAAAAAAAATAGTAGTGCCATTAGATATTGTTTCCTCAGTAGAATTGGACAAACAATTCACAACCCTACAAAAAGTAAATGGAATACAGTCTGCTACCAAAAATCAATCCCCACCAACTTTGTATTTGTACATTATATTGTATATCGTACTTACATTATCTTTTGATTTTATTTTGATCATTCACTATGACGTGACATTATTTTATAGTGATACGTCATCATTTTCGTTAATTTTTAAGGGTGGGTAATTAAATCATAACGTTAGGTATGATTTTGAAATAAAAAATAATTGCTGACCAAAACGGAATAAAAGTGATATTTGAGATACTAAATGTGTAGTTTACCGTATATTTTAATTTATTCTTTTCTGTGTCTCTATTGCATAATTGTTAGCATGCTTCCCCAGTTATATATACATTCACTCGCAATGGAAACAAAGCTTTGAAATAATCCTACAAAACACAATGAAAATCCATTTTGTTACCCTGGTTTTCCCCCTAATTTTCTCTTTAGTCCAAGGTCTGAACCCCCAATGTGCCACCCAAGACCATGGCTCGAACCTCCAAGTGTTCCATGTCTACAGTCCATGTTCACCCTTCAAGCCCTCGAAGCCGCTTTCGTGGGAGGAGGATGTGCTCCAAACGCTAGCCAAGGACCAGGCCAGGCTCCAGTACTTGTCGAGCCTGGTGGCAAAGAAATCGGTGGTGCCGATAGCTTCGGGCAGGCAGATTGTGCAGAGTCCGACTTACATTGTGAGAGCCAATATTGGAACACCACCTCAGACGATGCTTTTGGCTGTGGATACTAGCAGTGATGCTGCTTGGGTGCCTTGCACTGGCTGCGTTGGCTGCTCCTCTACTGCTTTTGACTACGCTAAATCCACCACTTTCAAGACCCTTGGCTGCCAAGCTGCTCAATGCAAGCAGGTAAGCTGCTAATCTTTTTTGTGTTCCTTTGTATTTTGATTAAATAGTTTCATTTTGGTTCGTATTTTTTTTATTTTTAATATTTTTGCCCTTGATGTTCATTTTAAGATGAAAATATCCTTAATGTTTTGATTAAATAGTTATTTTAGTTAATTTTTTTGAAATATTTTGATTATAATATTTTATTTTAGGATAAAAGACTTATATTTTGAATCGTTTGATCATAATGACAAAAAATACTCATAACGTTTGATTAAATAATTACTTTCACTTATATTCATTTTTTTCCGAGCATTTTAGCTTATCTTTTAGTTTGAGACCAAAAGATCCCTCTAGTCAACAAATTCCAAAATAGGATTTTTTTTTGCCCCGAAAGAAATATTGGGGGCAAAAAGCTCAAAAAAATATAAATACTAAATTGACTATTTAATCAAATAAAAAATATTTTATTCTAAAATAAAGTGTTATGGTAAAAATACTAAGAGAAAATAAAAAATTAAAATAATGTAAGTCGGGGTGTTCCAATATTGGCTCTCACAATGTAAGTCGGACTCTGCAATAGGGATAGAAGTTTTCGCCTGTGAATGGTTAGCATTTGTTGAGATTAATACTTGAATCATGTGAAAACTTTTATCAGGTACCAAACCCCACTTGCGGTGGAAGCGCGTGCACATTCAACATGACCTACGGTGGTTCAACCATAGCCGGAAACCTTTCACAGGACACCGTGACCTTAGCAACTGACCCAATCCCAAACTACACTTTTGGTTGCCTCCAAAAGACAGCAGGCAACTCAGTGCCAACACAGGGCCTATTGGGCCTGGGCAGAGGCCCATTATCACTCCTCTCACAATCCCAAAATTTGTACCAATCAACATTTTCATACTGCCTGCCTAATTTTAGGTCACTTAACTTCGCTGGGTCATTGAAACTTGGACCGAAAGGGCAACCCTTGAGGATCAAGTACACCCCATTGCTCAAGAACCCTAGGAGACCCTCCCTTTATTATGTTAATTTGGTTTCAATTAGGGTTGGTAGAAAGATTGTTGATATCCCACCAAATGCCCTTGCTTTCAATCCTTCCACCGGTGCTGGCACCATTATTGATTCCGGTAATGTTCCCTTATTCTATGTAGCATTTTCGACTTGATTGGATGAAAAGCGATTGTATTAACTAGTATTTACTTTTGATTGAAATGTACTTAGGTACGGTCTTCACTCGACTAGTTCAACCGGCCTACGTAGCCGTCCGCGACGAGTTCAGGAGACGAGTGAGAGTCGCGAATGTGACATCGCTCGGCGGGTTCGACACATGCTACACAATCCCGATCGTAGCACCCATGATAACGTTGATGTTTTCTGGCATGAACGTGACACTGCCGCAAGAGAACCTGCTGATCCACAGCACCGCAGGTGGCATCACGTGTTTGGCGATGGCATCAGCACCGGCGTTGAATGTGATCGCCAACATGCAGCAGCAGAACCACAGGGTGCTTTTTGATGTGCCCAATTCGAGGGTGGGCTTCGCCCGTGAGCAATGTTCTTAAAATGTGTGGCTTTTTTAACTTAAAAAAATATTAATGATGATGATAATAATAATAAAATCTAGGTCGAAATTTTGTAGTTTTTTTTTTACTTGTATTGGGGGAGTTCTAAGTCGGGCTTTATTTAGGTTTTACTATCCATATATGGATATATTGTGCTTGAATTGTTCTTTTTAATGTTACAATTGTGTTTAACACGTTAATGATTTTTATTATATTTTATGTGTTGTTTTATATTTTATGAGTATTATTATATTTGTATTATATTTTATGAGTATTATTATATTTGTATTGTGTTTGTTTATTTTTAATGTTATAATTGTGTCTAGTACGTTAACAATTTATATTAATAAATTTCGTGATATTATTTTTTTCTCATTAGATCTTTCTAATTTTATCAATGAGTATGTCAAAATAATAATAATAATAATTTAGCCCTTGATAAGTTTGAAATTGAGTAATCTAAAATAATATATCGACATTCATTTATATATGCTTAACGAATTTTAATTTTCCTAGTTCTTTGAGGTCAAATTCTTTTAAGAGACATCACTTTAAATTATTTATTTTCAATACCATTATCCATCACTATGACATCACCTACATACATTAATAACAAAAGAATCCTAATTGTGTTCATTTTCGCAACAAAGGTAAATGTATCAAGATAATCAATAATGTACTTTTGTTTCTAATTAATCCCACCAAGAAGTGAATAAAATAGAACTTCAGTTAACATCCACTCGAATAATACAAGCATGTAGCTTCACTAAACAGAACACGTTGAATGTTTTATTCGGAGGGGTAGAACCAGAATTCAACATCTTCTTAGGGTAAAAAAAAATCAACATCTTCTGTACTGAATTCATAGTCATAAGGTAGATTGTCCGAGATACAACAACAAGATGAGCACAACAGTACCGCAACTACAATAATCAATGAACTATAACCTCGTCTTTTTCTGTCATATATTTTTGTCTCAAAATCAAAGGACATTATCGACTCCTTAAAGAAGCCGTCCAATCAGCACAGCTCGTGCATCTTAAAGAAAAAATCCAATGTAGAATGAATCACATGAAGTTCAGCTGCAACAACATCACAACAAGATGATAGCCAAGAAAATAAAGAGAGAAGCTTACCAGAATCATCACGGAAAACAACCCCACAACCCGCACTCCCAACCTCAAATTAGAGTATCGGTAAAGTAATTGTAAAACCGAGACTTTAGCACTGATTAAAAATATAGACAAAAATGATAATTGTGTCGTGGTGATCCATTATCTTACAAATAAATTTACCCCGATATGTGTAATCGTTAAAATAGACAACACCCCTGAAAGGCTGAAATTAACATGACTCAAAAATTCGTATACCCAAAAGACTAGAGTAGATAAAAGTGGTATTGTTTATTATCATTGACTCCAAACAAGAAGTCAAAAAAACTTTAAGACAAAAGAAGGATTTCACAAGATTAGAAATGTTTTGATGGTTTTTTTGGATGATTGAAAATGAGAGAGAACCTTGGTATTTATAGGCTCTATTCACCAACACAAAATGAAAGACGAGACTTAAAATAATATCTTAAATTCTTGGATTGTTTAAATTCTTTTGTGACAATAAGTTAATAATGTTGTATTCTAACAACAATAGGATTTCATCTAAGTCAAAGCATATTGAAATAAATTTCTTAATTGTGAAGAATGAGTACAAAGTGGATTTCATCCAACTCAATGATTGTACTTTTGGTCACAAATGGTTTATCATCTGATGTCTTTCATAAGAACACTATTCATATGGATATTATATCGGTGGAGGATATTATTGTTTGAGTGAGAGTTTGTAATGTGTTTGTTTATGTTTTCTTTTCTAGATATTTATGTACTTAATTATTTTTTTTATCATAAATAAAGTATTCAGTTTATTTACTCTCATTTATTGTTCAGATATGGCCTGCAGGCCTTCGTTCGTCAAACCGTTCCCCAGGAGTTGGAGGTGGCGTAATTCAGGCATGGTTTGTGCAATGGCTACTGCCTCATCTTCACAACATAGCCTTTGCATCTCTGAAGATTGAATTTGAATGGTCTCAAGAGAGGGCAACTGCGACCTATGGTTTCGACGGCGTGTTTCGAAATGGGACATATCGAAATTTTGCGCTCTTCGAGAACGGAAGCTTTGAAGCTGCTTCGCTTAATCCCTCGTCCGAGATCTCGTAGCACGAAAACAGTCGAAGACGTTTCAGATGAACAGACCTGTGAAAAGCATCATCTTTCTATATGATACTACAAAACAAATAACACTTGAAAATTATAAATGGAAACAAACAATCATCTCTCTATTGAATGTCGATGCCCAAACAACATTTTGAAATTCTTCGGTAACTAATTGCAGTTGAATTTAGAAGTGAATAAGAAATTGAAAAACTTGAGTACTCGACTTATAATTTCATGAACTCGATTCATAAAAATCTTAAAGAAAGTTAAACTTATAAAATGGAACTCAAATAACTTGAATAACTCAAAACTTGCAGTTATATATTGTATTAATTTTTAAGTTCTAGTTGAGTCTTCCAATTTTACATGGTATATGCGTATTATGAAAAAAAAATATATGAAGAAATATATATGCATATTGTATTTAGTTATAGAAAGTCGTTTAAATTATAATCAATTAATATCGTAATATTATAAATATTAACAATCAAATTTAAATAGAAACTCCAACAACTCGACTCGAATTTCTTAACTTCGACTCCAATAAAAAACTTTAAATAAAATTTGGGTTATAAAATAAAACTTCCAATCTGACTACCTTAAATTTTTTTAACTTAACTCTACTCAATCAAATATTCGGGCTAAATGAATCATCAAAGCTAAAGGTCATGCTATGAACACACCTCCTAGTAAGAAACAAAAGCTATAGAATGTTGGAGAAACCAGAAGAAATGCCCAGAATTTCACTAGTAACAAACTAAACATACAATATTATAAGACATCCATTACCATTAAAGAACGAAAACTGATAATTAGCACAACCTGAAAGAAACAATTAGAGATTATAAAATAAAAGAAGAAGAAACTTTACCGCTCGGAGATATAAAACTGAAGTTCATCAGTACCAAAATATTCGATATTGATATCAAGCAAGTAGCCGCAGCAGCGACCGACGGCGTGGACGCACATCTTCTCGTGGACATGGTCCTTGTCCCGCTCACCAGAGTTGCGCATATCAATGGATCTCCACGTTGATGAGTCTTTGCATATGTTTCGCCACTAAGAGCACACGTTTTGGGCGCTGTTAAGGATCTAGATCGCACCTAGCCGGGAGAGAATCGACGCCGTCACGTCCCACGGCAGTTCCAGCCAATTGCGGGTTCCTGCAGCGGTGCTCTTCTCACGTTTCCTTCGGAGCATTTTGTTGCAAAGATGCGTTTGGAGGAAATGGCAAAACTTTTCTCTTTTTGAATAGTTCTTTTAGCTGAACGTATATTATGTGTTTTTTTGAAGGGACTAAAAGTCCTAAACTTAGTAATTTTATAAATATGATCCATTAATTTTATACTTAAACTTGATTTTATAATCATTTTAATAATATGGTTTTATAATTATTCTGTGTTATCATAAAGTTATGAAATATACTATAGATTTTTCCCCAAATCTGCTAATCAGTTGTTGCATTTATATATCATTTCGACTTATATATAGCAATCATGACATAGACTTTACACAAGCATCCAAAGAGAATACGATCAAACGATCTCAGTGATAAAGAAATTATTATTATTTCTTAAGGTCTCAGAGTTGAGCACCAGAAATACTAAGGATATGAACATTTAATATCAAATGGTTATTATTATATTATTGACCAAATAACAACAATAAAATATGAAAACTACAGCTAAATAATTTGTCATATTTTATTTGGTAGATCGATGTTAACAACATAAAGTTCATAGTTCAACGCATTCTGTCTTTCGATCTTTACGAGATTTAATTTCCATTCCAATCCTAAAACCTGACATTTTACATTCACGTTGTTGTATTTATCATTATGCATCCATTTCCACTGCAGGGCTATGAATCAAACCGTGGCTTTTAAAACAATACCAAGACCTCCCTCCCTGCTTGTCCCGACTTCAACAAGTCGGGTAAGCACGGCAAAAGGTTCATACAACTCGGTCGGTATCCATCGTTCTCATCCTGAAAACAGAGATCGTAAGATGATATCACGATCGTTATTTTGGAACTTCGGTCCTTTACGTTATCGTTATGTATCACAATCGACAGTATCATTTAGAGACAATGGTAGAAATGAAAGTGAAGTGAAATATAATGGCGAATCCTTCTCAAAATCGATATTACCAATTATCAAGGTATGTACGTGCATGGTTTCTTAAAGATTGCTCATTTGGCCTCGCCTTTTCCTTGTGCACAGATCAGACTAAAACCTTGCTTAATCCATTACTTTCCTGAAGGGAAAAGTGGTGTTGGTTCAGAAATTTATGAAACTGCAAAGGGTATACATGAAAAAGGTATGTCAAACATTGAGGACTTTTTACAAATACATGGAGAGCAAGCTAACCTTCAAATCTCTGGTCATCTTCTTGGCTGAATTATTGTTAGACTTTGTACTTTGGGGCTCCATCAATCGATGATGTTCAATGAGATTGGCAAATGGCTCTGACAGTTTCTTTTTTTCTGCCCATAACACATACATGAAACTGTACTTTTTTCGGTGTTTAATTTTTTGCCGTCTCTTACTAGTTCTCCATCTGATTATCTTGTTGCCTCTTGATAGGTACCCGTAATCACTTTATATATCTTGTTAAATTTAATATTAAATATTGATCAAATGAATGAATCGATAAAAAAATTTAATTAAATAAAAAATCATTAATTTAAAAAGAAATCAAACATGCTTAAGCCGAAATTATTTTATGAAAATTTCATTTCTACACAAATTTAACTCAATGTACAGTTTCAAAGGGCATTGGATTCGTAATGATTCATTACAAATATTTTGTTTAACTTTTTAAAAATTCTAGTTTAGGCTTTAATAATTAATTTATCTTAAACTATTAGAGCAAGGAAAAACATACATGTGGCCTTATTCTCAATGTTGTCTGCAAAGAATATGTTCCGATTGGATTTTTATAACCACCGTTATAATTTATTAGATTATTATTTCAAATTAGATATTACATATGTCTATTCCTATAATTCAGCTTAATATTTGTAATTCTAGAATTTGAACCTCATCTTATTAGATTAATTAATACCTGATAATAATTTATTTTTGTATAAACTGCCTAATTGGCCATCCACCTATTCTCACAATTTTGTTTTGGTCATCCAATTTTTTCTTTTCAAAATTGTACTTGATTTTATGTTTTGTTTATGTCTTGATCAACCGTCGTTAGGCTTGACCATTGACAAAATTGGTGATGTGGCATGGTATAACAATAGTTTTAGTTATTAAAACTTACACATTTTATTAAACTGGTCATAATTCAATAATTATCCAATATTTGAAAATCCTTTCAATTTGATCCAACATAAAATCCAAAATCATTTTGAATCATTTCAAAACCTAACTTATGGTGACCAAAATAGAACCAAAACATAATATTAGAGATATGATTTTGAAAATATTAACTGAGTGGCCAAAACAAAAATGAGGGAATAGATAAATTAGTGACCAAATAAGTAGTTTACCCAAATTTTAATGTTGTCAATAAAAACCTGATTGTGAAAAACTAACGCTAGAAGGAGGGCTTGAACTCCGACCTTGTGGTTAACAGCCACACGCTCTAACCAACTGAGCTATTCCAGCAACTTGAATCCCATTTCAATTTTATTTTATTTATTAAATATTTATATCATTAAATGTTAATCCCTACAATAATTGCAAGCGAAAAAAAAATGATAATTTCACTTTATTCAGCAAGGCTGTTATTTATTTTTGAAAATATGAGTTGGACTCATGAATTGAATTCTATTTAATTAGGTAAGTTAGACTCAAAATAGATTTTTAGTAATTTAAGTAAATATAATTTAATTATAATTAAATATTAATAGATAATTTATTTTAATATTTTAAATAATAAAACAGCTTTCCAAATCTGGTCAGAATTGAATGTAAGCAAAACATTTCTTCTTCAAGCTAAATATTTATTCTTTGATACCTTTAATTGAAATTTAACCAAAAAATTTGGGGTTGAAAATGGGGATTTTCAAAAACTATACTAAGAATACTGTCATGACCTATATATGTAAAGTCTTTATGTATGGCTTAAACTCTAACAAAATTGGGAGGAAAAAGAGACAAATAAAATTGGGTAAACTGCATGTTTAGTACCCCACTGTCACTTTTGTTCAGTCTTCGTCACCCAATTATTTTTTGTTTCAGTTTTTAACGAGGTGTGATTAAAATGAAACTAAAACGCAATAATATATATGATTTTAAAATAAAAATAGTTGAGTGACCAAAATGAAAAAAAAATGATACTAAACGTGTAGTTTACCCAAGAAAAATTTACTAAAGTTATGTTGTTATTTCAATTTTAAATTCATCAGTTGTCACTTTCTTCCAGACCCACTCCTCCACTTTCTTATTTCACATCTAATTTGCTTTCAACATATAATTAACTTTCTTTATAATTATCTTTATATATCATTTTATATTTTAATATAATTTAATTTAAAATTCACTTTATAACTCTTAAATCTTATTTTCACTTTGTTATTTTTTTAATAGTATGAGGTGAATACGTAATAGGATTTATTTAATTTTTTAATCTATTAATACATATCTTCCAAACATAATTGATCAAACTCATATCTTCTAGGAAGAATAATATTTTCATTCAGAAAATTTATTTATCTCCGTTAATAAAAGTTGTACTTTTTATTGTTATAGTTTCTCTATTTTATAACTGATAAGATAGATTTAAAGACGTCGTTTAATAATATATAAACGATTTTATATGTGAACCTTACTTAAATTGAAAATAGTCGTTCTTTCGATGAATATGATTAAGAGAATAATTATTTCTTAAAAAGAACAATAATTTTTTTTCACAAACAATAAAAAATATATTTTATGTTATTAAAAAATTGATAAATTCTAAATCTAATTTTAATCTTACTTTGAGAGGATGAGAAAGGGAGACTCTAGGAGAAGAAAGGGAAATACTTCTAGCGGGTCTAGAACCGCTGACCTAAGAGAATTATAAAAGAATAAAGATGAACAGCTTGACCAACCGAATAAATATGCTTATTCAAATATAAATTTGAATGTGAATGTTGAAAAATGATATATACCATATAAATATGATTATTTTTTAAAATATACATTGAACATAAAAAATCATATTCATATTAATATTAAAAAAATCAAATAGGAATATAGGATATAATCATAAAATTTCTTATATTTTTCAGTAATCATTTCCCTTAGATCGTAAGGGTGCTTTTAGACTTGTTTTTGTCAGAAATGTTATTGTATTCAAAGGGCAGTTTGAATTGTGTCACAAAGCTGTGTGTTGATGTCGATTACTTGACTGCCTTTATAATCTATGGTCAAAATAACATGAAAAGTTATGCAGTTTTTTTTCTTTTTGAACATGAAGTTATGCGGTTTTTAGTTTAACTTGTTGAAATTTGTACCCATACAAAGTTTGACAAGAAATATGTTATATTTAGGGTAAATTTCATAAATTACTGCTCAACTTTATTCTTACTCATATTTTAGTCATTCAAGTAGTTAAGTTTAAAATTTTTCAATTTAATCAGTAAATTTTCGTATTGTTTCTTTTTAATCACTCAATCTTTTATATATCTAATTGTATGATGACTTGGTATTTTTTTCTTTTTTAGGATGGCCACAGCGCTGATCGTAGTTGTCGGAGATTGTTAAATCCAAAATTTTCGAATTGACCTATATTGATCCTCTTGAGTTTGATTTTGACTTTTTTTTTTCACCAGAATCCATAAACATCGATTAGTCTCCAAATCTCAAATTCCAATTAAACCTTAAACCTTACATCATAATCAAACCCAAAAATATATAACTCATTTTCGCCCCCGGGCCTTTAGCGGTCGGATGTTGAATTCCAATAGTGAAAATGTGAACGTTGATAAAGAGAACAGTATATCTCAAAATTATGGTGATCTAACAGTCAGATGTTGAGATCGGTGAATGAGAAGGTTGAAAGTTTGGGAGAAATTTTAGGGCTTTTATGGAGTTCTTATGATAAATTAAACTGAAATATTAGTAGAGGAAGAAAATATGAGTCGGTCGAAATTATTGTTGGTTGGAATAAAACCTTCTCTATATTTTTAATTAGATTCTTATTTTATTTAATAAAATAAAAACTATATATATAATTTAAAGATGAGAATACGTAGGGATAGAAAGGAAAGAAAGGAGCTGTATGAATAATTTGACCAACAAATAATGCAATTGAAGCAACTTGATGTGGCACATTCTAATTAGGAATCCAATAAAGTTCCAAATATGCCCAATTTGAAGAATATTTCACCTCCAATGAAAATGTCAAAAAAATAAAATAGTCCTTTTTATCATATTTTTATAATATTTAATTTATTGATAAATTGATAAATTAAATATTGATAATTGTAAAGATAAATTTAATTAAAATTATACAAAATCAGTGCATCAAATACTTTTTTTTTTAACTTAATCAGCCAATGAATCCACCAAAAGTTTTGCAAAAAAGGGCAAAGGCAAAGCTTGAAAGTAATGGTGAAAGGCATGGAAAGGAGGCCAAATTTTCCATAGTGACCAAAGCACATTGGTGGAGTGAACGGTTGAGAAAAAAGAATGATAGTTAAAATTTTGGGTGATGGGATATATATGGGAGAGTGGGTGACAGACCCACGTGAGTGACCCACCACCGGCCACCACCACTACTTCCACCACCACCACCACCATCTTTTCTTCTTCTTTCTCTTTCTCTAATTGGCCATTGGATTTCTTTCATTGGCTTCATTTCAACGCTAGCATCCAAATTAATCCAACCGCATCAACACAACTTACCTGCCCACAAATAAGATAACACCACTCTCATATTATTTAAATAGTCTTTGCAAACATGACCTCCTAAGTACATCAATTTAATATTTATTTGAATAATATAAAATGATTATAATATATTATATGATCAGAATTTTTTTAACTTGACAATACATATATATCTAACCGACATAATTGCTCAAATCGAAAATCTCTTAAAAAAAAAGATAATATTTCATTTTATGAATTATATCACTTAATATATTCTTTAATTATAGTCGATTGCATCCATTTCTCTCAAATAAATGAAAGGAACGGGAGAAAGTTAAGAGGTTACTATCATTAACCCCATTTGACAAAGCTACAACTTTCTTTTTTAGCTGCCCACTAACCCTATAAGCCTTTATTTTCTTTCTTCCCTTTCGCTAATGCTAGTGGCTCTCTTTCATGGCGTTTAATTCACGTTAACAGCTAAAAGAAACTAGTGCAAGTCTTTGTTTTTTGGTTTGGCATGGGGAGAGATGGACAAAGAAACTAATAACCAAGAAACCCCGTCTCTCATCTCAAATAACAAACAAGACTCTTCCCCTAAGAAACATCCCGGAAGCTCCGCCGTGACTGGTGGAGGAGGAGGGAGTAATGATCGGTTGAAACGTGATGAATGGAGTGAAGGAGCTGTTTCAAGCTTACTAGAGGCGTATGAAAGCAAATGGGTGCTTAGAAATAGGGCCAAGCTCAAAGGCCATGATTGGGAGGACGTTGCGCGTTACGTTTCGGCTCGGGTGAATTGTACCAAGTCGCCCAAGACCCAAACGCAGTGCAAGAACAAGATCGAGTCCATGAAGAAACGGTATCGGTCGGAGTCCGCCACGGCGGAGGGATCGTCTTGGCCTTTATATCAACGGCTCGATCTTTTGTTACGTGGTAATGCTGCTGTGCCGCCTCCACTACTACTGCCGCCGCCGCCTGGTCCTATTTTCACTAGCCTTCCCTTGACGTTGCCGGAAGCGTCCACGGTGGTGGTGCAACAACAACCACCAAATATGGTGGCTCAGCCGCCGACTTTGGCTCCTTATGGTCTGGGAACTGCACAAAATTCACATGGTTCCAATGGTTTTGAGAAGATACCCAAGGTCAGTAAAAATCATATTATATGTGTATGTATCAATTTTTCACATAGATAATTTATGCATTTGTATTATGTTCATGTATTTTCTCGTATCATAAGTTTAGGGCAAACTATTTATTTAGTCACCATGCGATTTCATTTTAGTCACATAACTATTTTTCTAAATCATACATAATATTACGTTTTAGTCACATGGTGTCAAAAAATTAAAGGTACTACTAACGTGTTACCATAAGATAATATCACATTATCATTTAAAAAAATACTACATCATTAGTGTTGTTTATCTTTTAACGACGAATGACCAAAACATTACGTTAGGTATGATTTTGAAAAAAGAAGTAGTTTGGTGACCAAAACAAAACTATAAGAATAGGTTAGTGACTAAATATGTAGTTTACCCTTAAATTTAAGATATGTTAGTCATATTATATTGTATATATTATGAGTCATTCGTGTTAATAGGACGATGGGACCGGAACAAAAGTATCCGACCATCTATCGGACAAGGTAGCCATGGAAACCGATAGTAGCACACCCGATCTTTACAACGATGAAGAAAAGAAGAGATCGAAGAAATTAAAGACGAAAATTTCGGAAAAGAAGAAGAGAAGAAAAAGGGAGGAGTACTGGGAAACAGGCGAGAGCCTCCGAGTACTAGCGGAAACTATTTTAAAGTCAGAAGAAACAAAGATGGAAACACTAAAGGAAATAGAGAAAATGAGAGTGGAAGCGGAGACGAAGAGGAGCGAAATGGACCTCCAAAGAACCGAGATCATTGCCAAAACCCAATTGGAAATTGCTAAGCTTTTTGCAGGATCAAGTAAAGGGATCGATCCTGCATTAAGAATTGGTAGAAGTTGATCATATTGAAGATCTAGTTAGTAATTATATTGACGTATGTATGGGTTTGTGTATTGACAATGAAACAGTAGGGGGAGGTTAAGAGTGGGAAGATTTAGTGATGAATTTTTAACTTAAATCAGATTAATGATAGTTTTAAATTGAAATTTTGGATTTGATCGCACGTGTAATTGTTAGTGTTGTGAACATAATATGTGTAATGCATGACGTCGTAGATATAAATTTGATCATATTTAAACTTTTATAATTTAAAAATAATTTTGTAGAGTTATTTATTAAAACTAATTAGAAAACTGATGGGATTTTTAACATTTTTTTACCAGGATCTGGTTGGGGTTCAACACCATAATTCTTAAGGCATAATATCAAAAATAGCTCCTATCGTTTACCAAAATGATTACTTTTGCTCATATTATTTTTAGCATTTTAACCCTTGACGTTTTATTTTAAAGTAAAAAGCTTCATTTATAGATGAAAACTATTAGTTAAAACACGATTAACACTTCAAAATATGAGTATTTTAACTAAAATAAAATATTGAGGGCTAAAATACTCCAAAAAGAAGAATTAAGGATAAAGTGATTATTTTGTCAAATATTAGGGATCTTTTTATCCTAAAATGAAATGTTCGGGTGCCAAAATACTCAAAAAAAAATAGAACAGGGGCAAAATGATCATTCTGGTAAATATTGAGGGCTAATTTTGGTATTATGCCTAAATCTTATTCATGCAGCCAAGCACATCCGCTGAAATATCTACAAATTTTTTGCTCACTTAAACCCAAACTGCCACTTCTTCAAGGCTTGAGCCTCTCTTCTTCTTCTCAAAAATGGCTCTCCTCCAATTCCCCACACTTTCTCGCCCAATTCCTTCCCTTTCACCCGTTTTTTCTTCATCAAAACCCCATTCCCGTAACTCACTCTTCTTCTCTACAACAAAGGCTACGCCTTTTTCACTTTCAACACAACCCAGAAAGCTGCTTTGCAAACCTCCACTTGGAAAATATGTCAGGGAAGATTATCTTGTGGTAACTATTCTTCTTTCTTTATTTTTTTTATTTCTGGGTTTTTTTCTTTTTGCCATTTACACTATTGGGTTGCTGTGCAAATTGGAAAAAGGAAGATAAATGAAGTGGTTTTATGAATTTTGTTTTATCTTTTTAGGTTAACCATTGCTGGAAAATTAATTGGAATTGGTGATTGTTGACTTGGAATTTTATGCTCTTTTCTTCGTTTTCGTTTCCCATTAAACTTCCCATACAAATAAGGAGTGTGTGCATTAATTCAATTAGTAGCTTTTCTCTGTTGGGTTGATGAAATTTTGAGGGGGAAAAAAAGAAAGTAGTTTGAAGAGTATTAATAGAGTTATTATACTTCTTTAGATTGTTTATAGGGATGTCAAAATATGGAAGCTGGTGTTGGAGCATATGGTTTTGCTCTTCCTCGTCGTTTATTATATATATATATACACACAAAGGGTTATGTATAAAACAGTTATGTTCATTAGTATGTGCTAAATTAAAAATAATTAGTAAAGTATTATGATGGAGGGACATGGAGTAGTATGGAAGGATTATGTATGTGACCAACATTTGTGAAGGCAAACGTTTTCAGCATCCATGCTTTTCTTTTCTTTTTTTCCTCCTTCATATGGTAATGTTGTTTTATGAAATTTTGAAATTTGATGAGTTGATATTGGCATTTTGGTTGAGCAGAAAAAGATGTCAGCTCAAGAAATCGAGGAGTTAGTAAGAGGGGAGAGAACGGTTCCCATAATCATTGATTTCTATGCAACATGGTGTGGACCTTGTATTTTAATGGCTCAAGAACTCGAAATGGTAAGCTTTGTTTAATTGATTTCTTGTTTTTTGTTCTATTGATAACTTTAATGTTTTGTCTGAGTTGGTTGAGTTGAGATTCTTTCAGTAGACACACGATTGAGTTTACGTTGATTTTCTCTTCTCAAGATTAGGGTTCATATAGGAGGTAACGTATTCCAATGTTTCATCGATTCTTTGTTTTCTTGAAGTATTCATGTTCGTCACATATGCCCGAAACCAGCATCCCGACAAATTCTTTGTTTAGGTCACTTCACCAGAATTCCGCAACAATTCACAGTTTGAAAGATAGCCTCTATATTTTCTAAATATTTCGGGATGCCGATTTCTGGTGAAGTGACCTAAACACTGCCCTTAATTATGTTATGTGCTAAAACTAAGTCTACGACTCGCCATTCAGAACTTAAGTAACAATTTCCCCCGTTTCTTCTCAAATTAAATTCAGGCACCTGGTTGCATTAAGGTTTGCTTTACATATTTGGTTGCTTAGCTATAAAATGTTTTGGGAATCCACCATATTCCGTATTTTCGTTAACTCACCGAAATTTCTACGCATTAACATTTAGGGCCAGCTTGATTTGTCTGATCCAGTTTGGAGATTAACTCAAGTTTTATCTTTCTTCTTTTTTGATAATCACAGCTAGCAGTGGAGTATGAGAAAAATGCAATTATTGTCAAAGTTGATACCGATGACGAGTATGAATTTGCGCACAATATGCAGGTAATTTGAGCGTATTTATTCATCGAGTTCTCTCCTTTACGCTGTTTGTCTACCTATGTTGCTCGGACACTTTATTTTTCTTTGAAGTTCTCATGTCTAACACATTCGAACGTGAGTATTTCCGGTCAGTTCAGTATAGTAGAAAGTGAATGGAACTGGAAATTCTGTTGTACCAGGTTAGAGGGTTGCCTACTTTGTTCTTCATCAGCCCTGATCCAAACAAAGAAGCAATCCGGACCGAAGGCCTCATTCCGATACAAATGATGCGTGATATACTAGACAACGAGATGCGAGGAGGAGGAGAAGGCTGATTATTTATTGCAAAACAGAACCGAGGTACCGGATTTTGCTTGAAGGTGTTAATATGTATTTTCCGGTACCGATTCGATCTACAATGTAGTTCCGAAGCATAAACATATGTATCACTTATGTAATGGTTGTAGAATTTGTAACGCATATTTCAATATATATATTTTTTCGAATTGCTTTTATCAAAACAACAATGTTCAACTGTAAGTTACTTGGTTCAATAGGCAGGATTTGTACGTTCCACAAAGTTTTTCTATGTTTAAACATTAACACTAATGTTAATTTGCAAAATAGTAATTAACAAACATGTTCATTTAATTCGGTGGTATGGTTTGATCTTTAACATAAAATTAATGTTTTAGAAATTAAAATATAATTAATTATAAATAATGAAAATTTGTAAGTTCAATAATTAATCTACTTGTTGTACCTTCTGGATTCTCTTGCGGAAGTCCCATCCCGTTGTCATTCCTTCACGTATCCAGTATTAAGGTTTTCGGACTTCCTCGGAGCCTTTGATGTTTTACGTGATCTATAATATAATATTTGATAGTTAAATTCATTTTGTATGTTAACCTATGAATAGTCATTGAGATTGTTCGACCAATTGACAATGAGTGCATACACATCCTGTAGACGTTATTTGACCTCAGGACCTTTAGAGAGAAATACGCTCTTTTTTAATTACTGGATCGCTTCATGAGTTTGAATCAATCTAATAAAATCAGTATGTTGATTGTCTTCCTTTCTTAGTTGCTTTTACAAAAAATTTCTCTACTCTCAATATATTTTGATTGTTCGATTGAATGAACAATAGTAATATGTTATGTGATATTAATTTGACTTTTAAAATCACTATAGTTGAAGATCAACTTTTAATCCTATGGAATGAGGTATTAAAGTTTCCAGAATGAAGGTTGAATTATTTTTCAACCCTTTGTTTGACTTTTTGGTCAAGAAGCTTTCATATGGCTGCTATTTTGCAGGGTTGAAAAAGTAAGCAATGAAATTTTATAATTACTCATTTTTAAAATTAATACTAATATAAAAGGATTATTATCATATATTGTTAGTAAAAAAAGCACAATTAGGGTTTTTATTAAATCACAAGTAGGGTTTAAATAGTGAACAAGTGTTAAAAAAATAGATAGATTAAACGTTCCTAATTAAATAATAATAATATATTATACATTTATTAAATAAAATTTAATAAATATATCTATTTTTATTACTTTATTAACCTACTTATGAAATCTGATAAGAACAAAATGAGAAAGAAAAAATAAACACTTGGAAGAAATTTAGAAAATAAACAAAAATAATTGCAATAGTGAATGGAATATTCACAATTAATTTTATTTCATTTTTCTCTCAACAAATTAATGTATAATTCGTATGTTGTAAAATAATGTAAACGTTAATGTAATACAAAAAGAAGAAATAAAATAATCTATTACTCCTTGATTTTGTTAATCCGCAAAGCTGCCGGCGCAATTGCCGATCACTTTCCTATTAAAGACGCGTTTTAACACCGGCAGTCATACAGTATGAGAAACCGAGTTGCCGACAACCTCCGGCGGCGAAAACGCCAAGAACATAAGAGCTGCCATGATCCCAACGGGAAAGAACATAAGCACAAATGGCGGAGGCGGTAACGGCGGCAACATCAGCGGAAGAACCACCATAGACGCCGCCAACACCGCCAGCAACAATAACCCCCCGATTCCAAAGCCAAAAGAAGCCCCGAAATACGTCGCCATCGTACAATCTCTTTTTTCTTCGGATCTCGTCATCATCGTCAACACTCTGATCATATCTCGCCGGAAAAGGCGACCAAACGAACACTTGCAGCGACTAATTCGTCTGAAAACTTGTCGGAATTTCTCAATAGAGATTTCAAATTCAAAATATGAACGGATTTGGGGATTGGGGTTTTTGGGAGAATGAGGAAATTAATAACGACGGGATTGATTGGGAGAATTTTGAAGTAAAAATGGATAAGCAATGCATTACATGTGTATGTATATATAAATGTGAGGTTGTTTGATGGCTGCGTTGAATCTGACCCGTTAATCGACAGCTTGATGATGTCGGCTTCTTCGACTATGAAATCTGGTACGAGTCATGGTGCGTGCCAGACAGAATGATGGTGGAAGGTTCCATCTTCCATGTATTTCATGCAATTTTGTATATTATACTATCTTTTTTACAATTATCTATATTCGATTTATCGATTAATTTAAATTAAATACTATATAAATTTAATTCTAAATCAATTTATTTTATTCACAATATTAAAATTTAAAATTTAAATATTATCAAATAAACTTAATATTTTATCTAGGAATGACTCTAAGTCGGATGAATTAAACTTGACTTGAGTATTCCATTCCCATCCGTCACCCAACCTGACTTGAGTTCTGACTTGAGTTAGGGGAGGCTCCATTAGACTTGATTTTTGAGTAAAAATATGCACGCGCATCCAACATGAATATATATAATATTCTTTCTTTATTATGTAAAATAAATATTTAATTCGAAAAAAATATAAAAAATGTTATTATTGTAATTATATTTAAACATATAAAAGATAATTATACTATTTTCTAATCATCTTATGCCAGGTTGAAGATATTTTATTCTGAACTTAAATTCGATCGATCTTATCTTAAAAAAAACTCAATTTGATATGAATCAAACTATTTTAAAGAATAAAACTTGACCTTGTAGAATTGTATTGGGTCAAAATATATCAAATCCAAATCTTATATTCACCCTTAATTTTATTTCATTAAACTAACTTATTATTAATTTATTATACAAGTGTTTTTCATAAATTGTATATAAAATTAATCATCAAAATCATATAAAAAAATAAACACGGAATAGATAGATTTTTTTATCCGATACTAAAATTTAATTTTAATAGTTAAGTTAATTCAATATTAACATTTTCTTTTTGATAATTTTAGAGTGAATACAAAGTAATATGTGTTCAAAGACTTTTAACAATTTAACAATAAACGTTCATACGCTTACATTCGCGGTGTTCAAACCCGAGACCTAAAGAGATAAACATTAATCTTTTAATCACTAAAATTGTTTGTTTCGTGTATTCGATATTAACTTTGTACACTGAATTTAATTCACAAATGTAAAAACCGACCAAAGTATTCTTCATACGCAATGAAAATGAGGGTATAATTCAAAGTATTTAGCAATGTTATATTATAGCAGCCCATGCATTTCCGTAGTCAATTGAACATTCCAAAACGCCTCTGCACGCCTCATTTAGCTTCCATTATCATGTGTCAAATTTCTTTTTATTATTTTATTATTTCTTTTGTTCCCCACCACCTTTACTTTATATTATAATTTTAAAACCTCACTTCGCACATGGGAGCCAACCACAATTCATCGTCTCAGACAAATTTTGGACGTAAGAATAAAATTTGTCTCTAAATTTTTTTAATTATATATTTTAAAATATTGTAACTTTTAATATTTATTTTAAGTAAAAATGTATTTAATATTTAACTACTTTTATTCTTTTTAGAGTGCTTTAACTCATAAAATTTTATTTTAAGATAAAAATTCTCAATTTTAGATTGTTACTAAAGATTTTCATCAATGGAAGGATTTTTTTCTTCAAAGTAAATCGTTTACGGTCAAAATACTTAATAAAAAAGAATAAGATTCAAAATTAATATTTGATCAAACGTATGAATTTCTTTTATTATTATGCCAAAATTTTATTTCAAAGTATATCATATTTTATTTATATATGAAAAAATATTTTTAAATTAATGCCCACCAAAATAAGTATTTAAATATATCATCTTTTTATTTGCGTTCTTAAAATAATATTTTATCAATATCAAATGTTAATTTTAAGTATCCATATAATAATAGTATCTATTTTGACAAAAAATATTAATTACCTAATGAAGACGTGCTGTATTTTAGATATCTATTTTAATTTAAAAAATATTTTAAACAGACAGATAAAAAGATAGTACATAGAGGGATGGGTACGGATTCAAATCTAATAATTTTCGCCTTTATTTGATCTTATTGTACCAGTTTTTAATAAAAAGATTGAATTTAGGTCAGGTCGAATTTATGTTAAAAATACATGATCATACCTAAAAATAATATATATTTATGGATAATTATAATACTACTCATTTTTATATTATTATTCTTCAATTAAATCTTTATTTTTATAAAATAAAAACAATATTTTTTCATAAATATATTTGTTTCGATTTAAGTCGGGTTCAGGTTTTATCTTAAAAAAATGAATCGAATCCGAATCAGATGATATATATTTTTCAAGTTGAGTTAGATTAATTGAAAACTCGACGCAACTCGATCCATACGCTACCTAAAGTATATACCTATTTTGAAACAAGACCAAGAAATGCAAACAACCGAAAAAGTGTTATTACTTTGAGATTTCGTGTTTGAATTTCATTATGTATAAATTATGAGTAATTATTTTAGATTTGTTTTAGAGTCTAACCATCCGTCCAAAACTAAAAACTCACCTAAAATTCTTACGAATACTCCAAAAGGGAAGAATATTGGGAAAAGGGTTTAAGGTTGGTTTGACTGAGTTGAGACAACAGCTCAGTGGTGAGTAAAAGAGGCGTCCGAGTTCATTGAATAGAGTTGGTGATGAAGACTGATCCGAGGCGAGTCTTTCGTACACGGTGATAAGGATGGGGTGACAGACACGTTCCTTCATACACGTTGGTCTACCCACTACGTTACCGTACCTTGTAAGATGCACCTAATCATATGATCATCCCACCTCCCTTTCCTAACCCATCTACAATTACATATTTAATCATTTTTTCTTGTTCTATTCTTAATTCAAGGGTTTCATCTTATTTAATCTGAACCAATTCGTATTTCATACTTAAGTTTGGTGAGTGAATTTCTCAATAAAAAGAGATTCTCTATATACACAAAGTCTCGAACTCAATACTTGTTTAAGTAATATTAAATTGTTTATCATTTGAATCAATTCAGTTGATATATTTCACCATTTTTTATTAGTATGTAGTGATCATAAGTTATTATTTGTTCATAATTCTTAAAGAGAACAACGTTCACTTCAACCACTGAGTTCACTTGATGAATCTATATTTCACCTTTTTTATTAAAG